AAATTTCAAGCCCTCGGCTCCAGCTAATGCATAGCCTACACCTCTCCCCACCTCACTCTTTTTCACCTCCCGCAGACAGGCCATCGGGTCCGACGAATACATAGCCTAGACCCCCCCCCCTTCACCTCACCCCCACCTCAACTGTTCCAGAACCCGCATTTTATATCTACTTTCCCATATGAAAAAAAGAGAGAATGAAGACGTTTGATAAACCGTCTCGATTCGTTTTATTCATCACTTCCGGCCGGCCGATGTCAAACCAAATTGACCGTGCTCAAACGAGCCGCCCTGGGTAAAAATAGCCCTTCGCCTCGCCCTTTTTCCCCTTATGAAACAAATGTTTGCAATTTGGCAGCAGGCAGTCTGCAGACGATGCCAACTCGGCATTCCGCGGCTGATATGTGACGGAAAATCCACGACTATTAAATCAAGCCCGATCGAGTACCGAAATCTGTTCCCCGGTAAACGGCATCCTTCCATTGTAAAGTGAATATCGTACATCACACCTATATATTTAAAACTGACAGTTGTTCCATTCGTTGTTAGATATGCAATGGGTTTCGTACTTTGTCTGGTGGGTTTACAAAGAGAACGCCATTAGATTTATGCTGAGTGGACTGGCGTGCCCTCGCCCTAATACGTGCTTAATGCACATTCGAACTGAAAACAATGATACCCCTTTACACATAAACGAATCGATGGATCTAAATGCACGAAGCAGTTGTGAGAGCAATTTCTAGAAAATTGCCTTCGAGAATAAACTTACAAATTACAGGGTGTATACGAGGCTCGTCCTCTCTCTAGTATAACTGTTAACGACAGTAAATAACGACTGACAACAATTATCGGCCTTCTCGGCCCTGAAAACGTCCTCTTTAATATACTTTAAACTCACGCTGGGCGCTTTTGGCTTTCCTTCACACTCGCGTAAATCTCGACGGTGAGGAAAATAAAGTACTCGCGCATACCTTTGTGACAGCCGCGGATGGTTTACAGACGTACTTAAATTAAGTACGTCAATATTACTAAACTAAAAGTTTAAAATATCAGCGTAAACGAGGATCTTCAGAAAGACTAGTCGGGTTGTTTTTTACACGGTTAAATGCCGAATTGTAGAAGAAACTTCACCCCCGCGCAAACCTCAAGAAAAGTATCACTATCACTATCACTTTGGAAAACGCAATCTGTTGCACACAGTAATATACCATCTTTCAGTAATTAAAGTGGTATATTATACTCTACATACAAAAATATAGTCAGAGCCAGAAACTCGTCGCTTTTCGCAACTTTTACAGCCAAAAGACATGGTTTTTTTCTATATCGCAAATATTATCGATTAACGTTTTGCAAAAAATAACTAAGGAAAAGTTTTAGTGAATTAAATTGCTTTTAAAATCAACTCCTTCTTGGAGGGAAAATTCGAAATTTTGCTAGTAGTTTTCGAATTCAGGTGTGGACACTGCTTCAAGAATCATCAGACATACTTTTTTCAAATTATTTTATTTGTACCCTATACATAGTAGTACATATTACAAATGTGATCACAAAACCTTTTTTCTCACTGTCATAGCACTAATTCCAGAGCTGCAACTGGAGGACACATTCCAAGAGAAACCTTCCACAAATCTACCTAAGAGTAAGTAGTGTTAGGATGGATCGAGAAGTTGGTGCGAAAAATTTGGAATGGATCTGTTTGATGACAAAAGGAATGTTGAGGTTGTTGTGGATAGTGAGGTTAATGATGTAAATAGCTTTGATGATTTTTCTGAGGACTTTTAATTGGCAGGATTGGATGCGCTGGATATTAGAGGTTTGGCAGAATCCCACAGTTCCAATCTGAATGTCAAAAGTGGTCGCAGTAAAGTCTTCTAAAAGGTTAGTTTATGTTGATGGTCAAGACGGTTTTCGATCCTGGAAGTTTTCGTAGTTCCAAGTCTTGTGTTAAGTGTGCCAGTTTGCTGTCTAAGTATAATGCTATGTATTTGACTTCAATGGAAGTATGTAACGTTCACTGAGTACGTTTTTCTTCCTTCATGTTTTCTCCAGTTTTTACACTATTCTTCGATAAGTTCAACGGGTTCTTGGATATTGGAGATAGCTTAGGTAGGATTCGAGTTAGGGGACAAAATTACTTTCTCCTCCGTGTAGGTGGTGATATAATGGTAGTTATTCAGCATTAAAAATTATATAAAGTATAGGACGAAAAATGCTCCCTTGTGGAACGCCTGCTTACTTCCGAGAACTCGTTGCCGCACCTCACTATGAAGCAGTCGGTTAGACAGGAGCAGAGGAGATAGTGTTGACAATTTTAAATCTTATTGGATCTTGAATGAAGAGGTCAGAAGCCGAATCGTGAGAAGGAATGATGTTATGGCTAACTAGGATCGGAATTAAGCGATTTAAAAGGAGATTTTCAAGGATTTTCGACATTGCAGGAAGAAGGCTGATGGGCCTGTAAGAGGATATGTGGTTGGAAGGTTGTGAAATTTAGAAATGAAAATATCGGCGAAATATTTAGGATGTTGAGGGGGGACACTATATATTGTAGTTAACAAAACTATGGCCTTTTTTGGGAGGTTTTGATGTATGGTGAAGTTAATTAGACTATAGAATTTTGACGTTAAAAGAATTTTGTAAATTTTTAAATGATAAATTTTTCACATTTTTCTTTTTTTTCTTTTGATGTACAACATTGATCCACAACACGATTTATTTTATACGTAAGGCAAATAGACAAGTAAAAACCATAATTTTATTTATGACAAATGGGTAGTTTATGACTGTTTATACCAGCATGCATTAAGCCTAGAACGTTTTGTAGGAGTTTACTTCAAAAGTTGTCTAATTCTCAATATCTTTTAATTTGTCAACTTTAACAACATGTTGTTAGTTTCAGAGTTATGTGCATAAATATTTCTTTTAATATGTTTTTTTGCTGTAAAAATTAAACGAAGACCTGTTAAAATCATTGTACTAGATTATTTATTTAAAATGCATATTATCGTAATGATTAATTACTTGCAATGCTGCTGCAATTGAATTTCTGAAACTTAGATAAAAATTCTTTAAGAACTGTGAAATGTAAATAAAAGACTCCAGCTCAATTAGTTATTGTTTTCGTTCGTATCAAATGCTTTCGGCATTCCTTTGGAAGGAAGATTAATGCCAATTGCAATGCTTTCGTCTTTTCGGATGTACTTCCAAATGAAACAGTATGGTCAAAGGGACATTAAAACTTTATCGTTGAAGATAGTGAATTGAAAAGGGTAGTCGTGACGACTGGCGAACGACATATCGTTATTTTAATCAATTTGCACCGGAGTAATTTAAAACCGTACAAATCCTCATGAGATTACTCGCCTATTCTCCTTCATAAAAGTGACCTTGCCTACCTGAATTGGAAGAAAACTAAAGATTTACAAAAGAATTGCAAGATCGGTTGTTTAAAAAACGAACATGTAAGTTTAAACTGCTTATAAGTTGCGCACAAAGTACAAGTACAAAGTAATCTTTATTCACTAAGGTTGAGATTGGGAGTTGGCGTCCGACTGTTCGAGTGGATATAAGTCACGATAGCTCAAGTGGTTAAAGCAGCGGCGTTTGAGCCGAAGGTCGTGGGTTCGAATCCCGTTCGTGACATTTTTTAATTTCTACCAAATCTTACATAAAAATGGTAATTAATTGAAGGAAGTAATTTGGTCAATCAGGCCACTAAAATACAATGGATTTATTCACTAAAATCACTGTAGAGTGGCCAGTGATCTGTTAATCCTATCACTCCTCTGAGTTTAGCCCTCTCTAATTATAGCAGTGAATTTTCTATCCTTGGTGAGGGTTGTTTTACCATTCGTTTACTGTGTCTAGCGCCCCTAGAGATTCTCCATTTTTCCTTTTGTCTGTTTTAGATCCATTCTGTAATGCAGGATCTTTTTTATTCCAAGAATGGCCAATATAAGGCGTACATACGGTCTTGCACATCCTCCTATGTCCAGAGTGTCTATCTTTTCTTTACACAAAATTCCCTTGTGTCCTGGTACCTATAATCAGGTTGTTGTTTTTCCCATGTTGTGGAGAATTTGAATGCGTTAACTGACTGCTTTAACTATCTGAATAAAATAAACGCACCACCCTTAAATTTTAATTTATCCAGGTTTATTCATATTTTGCATAACAAAAATAGGTTTGGTTGTAAAAATAAGGCATGTGAAAATACAATGTTAATTACCACATTCTAAAAAAAAATATTTAGTAAAGAACAAAAAAAACAGAAAATTCAAAAAAAATAACAATGTTTAACAAAAACTTTTTTGCCCCCTTTTATACCGAGATTTCCACCACAAATCGCGTCCGTTAAACGCTTTTACATCCCTTGTAATTCTTTCCCATTCGTCAAGAACAGCCGTTTCCAACTTTTCTAGGATGTAGGACCACTTTCATTAATCCATCATTCGAGGTATAACAAAACGTCTTAACTAATCATGATTTCAAGATGTTTTCTTCTTGATACAAACCAACAACTGAAGATGTTAAGAAGCCGAAACGCGACTGACAGACCAAAACATCGAGGATAGACTGACCAAAATAATCGAAAACCAAAGTACATAAACTACTTTTTTAATTAAGAAAAACTAACAGAAACAAAATCTCTTTTGTGGTAGAAACCCTTTAGTACCTCAGTGAAGTTATCATCCTCGCACAACAACTAATGCATTGAGGGAGTCCAAGGAAATGCCACCCCAAAACATCATTGACCCACCACGAAACGGAAAAGGAACCAAACAACATCCGGAGTACCTTTCTCACGGGTTTGCCATATTACGCCCATCTGAAGATTTAGGCCTGCTCTCGTCTCATCTGTAAAAAGAACTCCCGTGAGAATTGAAGTTGAACATTTTCTGAGATGTAATAAGAAGAGGCCCACGAGCCGGGTGCCGGGCCGTGAGGTTATTTTCATTGAACCTTCTTACAGTCCTGGAGGAAATTATTTCGGGCTTGTCTTATCAGATTTCTTATCTCAATTCCCGTAATGCTGCGGTTTCGTAGAGCCTGATGACGGATGAAGCTATCGTCTCTCTCGTCGGAAGACCTTTCTGGTAACCCTGTTTCTCTGAAGCGCGGAAGAACCCTTCCTATTGTAGAATGATTTATCTGGCCACTTCGCGCCGTATTCTTACTTTAATATTATGACCCAGATACATTCATAGTCACTCAAATGCCTGACTACAGCCACTGAAAAATGTTAAAGAAAGAATAATATCAAATGCAATGAACAAAGGCAAAAGATCAACTGAAAGCGATTTTTACGCGTAGCAAAATGGATGGGCATAATGCTACTTTTTGGGCAAATGAGATTAATCAGTACAAAAAAAATAAAGGAAATAAACAAAGCATTATTTACTGTTTATTTTGACTACAATAGCTTCTAATTACCTGTAACTAATGTAAAAAGATCTTGGATTTAAGTTTAAACTAAATAAATTGCGTAGTATGTAAAATTTATCCATCATTGTATTTTCGCCGTTATTTCACAGTATGCCTGTTTGAGATCTATAAAGATGGAAATGTAAAACAATGCGCCTGTCTACTGGGTTTTTATTTTAAACTCGGTCTAAAACTGTAAAATATTTTACGAGGTCAGACTAAAAGTCCGGCTTTTCCTTTAGGAGATGGAGTTCTGTCCTGTAATGCGTTATCTATCATTTATACCCCGAAGTTCAGAGATTCATAGGCCTATTGTCTGGACGATTGTACGTTTATCCTTATGATTTTAGTACCCGTTTGTAAGCGTCACGGTTTTATTGAATTGCCGATACGGTTATGCCGTCTGGGGTGTTTTCTCGTTTTGTACTTTCTATAGTGCAATCTTAAACAAACGGCGTTCATTCCCAACATAGACTCGTCGGGCCATTCTGTACGTGAAAGAAAGGTGTCTCACAAAATATTGAGATTAAAAATAAGTATTTAATGCTAAATTTATTTTGAGAATAATTAATACGAACTCTTTTAAGCATAATACATTCAATGATTTTATATTTGTTTCAGCTATTTCTTTCTACTGCAGAAAGATGTCGATTGGCTGTCGATAACGGTGACTCCCTGTTCGGCTCCGATCTCTTGGGACGTGTCCTTCCGGCCATCCACGGAGACGGGCAAAGGTGAGACCCGATGGAATCCAATGTCCGGAGATAAAGTTAACACTCCGATTTTCAGTTGACATGTCGAGCGTTTCGTCCAACTCGGTGCTGGAAACTGAGCCGAGGAGCTACGAGGAAAGTATGGCCAGAAGGGGGCTTTATTCCGTTCGGATCAGCTCGCCCGAGGACGCTGGGACCGCAGAGCTTTTCGCGACCACACTTGGATCTCTGAAAAAGCTGAGGCCGACTTCGAAATTATCGTTTGCCAACAAGAGGCAAAGGGCGCATATGTCGGTGCGATGGACCCCGAGGTAATGTTCAAGACTCCAAAATTTAAAGACAAGAAACTAAAAGTACTAAAAGTACTTATACCATAATTTTGGTGTCATTCCAAACGTTTTACCTCCCTTTTGGAGTCGAACTGTCGTCCCCTTTTGTAATTAAACTTTCGTCCAATGTGTCCCATTCGCAACATTCCAACAACCAAAATTCACAACCTACAATCTAAAAGCTCAGACCAGGTTTGAAGTTCTCTTTTACCAAAAATAGGCAAAGGGCGCGGGTACAATCCAAACTTTGATTAAAAAACAAGATGGGGAGGAATAGGCTGAAAATTAGTTTGGCAGCGTACGAAGAAATCAAATTCAAATTTCTCAAATAACCGATGGTTCTTCTCTTTTATAGAAACAAAATTAGCTTTTTACTTTTCCATATGGTCTGAGGGTGATGAACCAGTTGATCGTTACCTACCATTTTGGTTCGCGTATCTTCACTGGTATGTCTCAGGTGGGTATTGGTATTGCGGGATCGTCGGTACGTAAGATATTTAAGCGGAGTAAAACAAAATAGCACGACTCGCAAGAAAAATGAGATCTGACCTCTGGGAAGATTTCGTAGAGCCAATCAGCAAGAATAGGCGGACCAGAGACAACTGTGATTAATCTGTATTCGAGGTACAACAAAAAGTCGTAACTAATCATGATTTCAACTTGATTTCTTCTTGATACAAACCAATAACTGAAGATGTTAAGAAGCCGAAATGTGTCTGACAGACCATAAGATCGAGGATATGCGGACCAAATCATCGGAAACCAAGCTACATAAATTACTTTTTGTTAATTTAGAAAAAATAAAGAACATAAACAAAATCTCTTTTCTGGCACCCTTTGAGTGAATTTTTTAGAAACTATCTGGTTTTTTATCATCATCTAGTCGCAGGTGATTAGATGTTATAGTTATTCAGATATCGTGAGATGTTGTCGGGTGTGATGTAGGTATCAGAAAAACATTTTCTTTATCGTGCCAACGTTTCGATCTTTTATTGAGATCATCTTCAGGGCTCAAAGTGTTTGTCTTCTGTGTAATTGTGCCATCCTTGCGTGTCGTGTTGAGAGTGCCCTCTCTGCACGACACACAAGGATGGCACAATTACACAGAAGACAAACACTTTGAGCCCTGAAGATGATCTCAATAAAAGGTCGAAACGTTGGCACGATAAAGAAAATGTTTTTCTGAAACCTACATCACACCCGACCGCATCTCACGATATCTGAATAACTATAGATTTACGGTCACTAATCTCTACACATTAGATGTTATGATTATAGTTTGTTTAGAAATATTTTATTTCGAGAAACCAAACCTTCTCCCAACGAGTTACCAGCCCAATGCCCTTTTTATAGAAGTTTGGATCCCGGGACTTAAAAAATTAATTCAGCTTTTTTAACAGCTGTTGGCGATTATCGAATTCCCGAACTGGGCATATAATTGTCCATTGCTAACAAAAGGTTTTAAATAGATGGGTGGTTAAGGTTTAAGTAAGATGGGGCCAGGTCCGGAGAGTACCGAGGGTGTGGTAAGGCTTCCCAATCAAGCTTCATTATCACATCCTTAGTCGTTCTGACTGTATGAGGACTCACGTTGTCCTGATGAAAAATTTTTTTGCTTTTGAAAGTAAGTTGTTTCTGGACCAGGACAAGAGATCGCAGTTGGCTTGAGAAGATTTCTGTGGTGATGGTCCGGCCAGGGGTCAAGAATTTGTTGTTGAATATTGGATTTTCGCGACAATAGAACAGGGTCATTTTGGTGAAAGCCTACATCCTCCTGGTGTACGGAATCCATTTTTCGTCGCAGGTGACAATTCGGTCAAAAATCGTGTCTACTTTGTACCATGAAAACAACGAAAAGCAAATGTTTAGTCGCTGAAACTTGTTATTCTCGGTAGATTTATCAGGAACAGCTTCCACGTCTTCCCACACGTTGAACACTGAACACTCTGAAAAGCTCCTGACATGTTTCACTCGAATCAAGTGAGGAATGAAATTCGTTATCAGTACGACAAAACGCCTACCAGACCTTGGTTTATCTTCAATCACCTCATTCCCAGGAGCAAACTTTTGGAACAAATTTTACGAGCTGCCTCGGCCGCCCTAGTACCATAGTAGTCGTAAGCACGCACGAATTATGGGTGGTGAACAGTTCAAGACACTTTTTCTTTATGAACTGTTGCATCATTCTCTTGGTATTAAATCACTTAATCCTCTTGTGCAAATATATACGTTGATTAACGGTATTAAAACTATAACAAATGAAAAACCGCATCGACTTTTCTGGTTACCTGGATCTTTCAACCTTCACTCTTGATTCATTCATTTATGCATCCATTCTTCTACCAGCATCCTTATCCATCTTCAACCGCGAGGCCCTTTTTTCCCCACTTCCTTGGGGGGGGGGTCCTTTCCTTTCCAAGCTTAAATGAATACTTTAAGTATGAGGCGTTTACAACGTATTACAAGTGTAATCAGGTACTTGCCACGACTTGCATCTAGATTGCTCCGACCCTTAGAAAACAGTCACAAATGGAAAAATACTTCTTCAACTGAGCAACGACATACATGAACTGATTATGATTGAAAAAAAGAAAACTTTTTTAACATTGACTTTGATCCTGTTGCCCTTCTCAAGATGGATGTCCAGTTCGTTTCAAGAGTCATTGGCAATTCATATAACCAATGGGACTTGTTACTTTTTCACTCTATAGAATATGGTATAGATAGATTCAGTGTAAAAAGGATTAAAAAAGAAATAAAAATAACTATTCATTGTTGAAACGTCAACAATAAAAAATTGTCGCATTATCAGCATAAATTATCATAGTTCTAACTAAACTCAATAGGTAAAAAATATCGTCTGGTATAAAAACCTCTCATTTACCAAAAAAAAAGTATAAATGCAGTGCTAAAAGTATAAATAATATACAAAAATGCTTTGACAGATTTGCAGGATTTAGTAGAAACATAAGCCTTGTTACAGTAACGTACAAAGCGAACTTGAAAACATTTCAAGAAAAGTTAAGGGCTCTTCATCCAGAAAATGCTCAATTCTGAAACTTCTTGTTGCTGTCCACGAGGATGTGAACCTGTGGTTTGGTCGTTTCCGATCTTCGTGTGCATAGATTTCTTCTAAAACTATCTTTAAAAAAAATGCTTATTTTAAAGTGGTGTTTCTCAGTTCTTATGAAGAAAAACGAAAGTGATGTAATACAAACATCAGTCATGATTATTCCAATTAAAAAATAATAAAAATTATTAAAAGCCTGAAATACTTGCCAATTCAGCTTTTTTGCATAAAACTGCTAAAAATACCTATTTTACAATGGTGTTTCTCAATTTATAGGAAGACTGGAAGGTTTGGAAAAGTCTTGGAAAAAATTTGGCCAAAAAGCACTTCAACATTGTGCACTTAAACGTGTGCCGCGCATAAAGGGATACCCGTCAGAGGTTGATATCCTTGTGCAGAATATCAATTACTGTAAGTAGCCGTTTTCAACGACAGGCCTCCTTGGCCGGCCTGGTTCCGAGTCCTAAATTCAGTCGAAATTAAATTTCTCCGCCCTACCTTACGATTCTCAAGTATACATTCGGGTTTTCGGCGCCGGCACTACGCCCGACTGAGCCAAGGCGTCCCCAGGGCAGTGGTGTGGACACCTGGAAGTCTCTTCCCGTTTCTTCGGGATCCAAATCCTTCACCTTCAGCACCGATCTATATCTTTCCTTTCAAGCCATCAATACATTTGACTCTCGCTCACTCCGCGTCGCCCCACACAACTGACCAAAACGCTTTCCAACGCAAACACCTACGAGTTCGTCAGTGTCGTCGTTGGGTATTTTCAATCATGACACACTCTTTTACTAATTACGATGGCATTCGTCTCAGCCTTCGCTCTCGCTAAAGGCGGTTCTTCCTGACCGGGAAACCACTTTCTCACTTGTCATAGACGAAAAACTACCTTGGAATAGACCCGCCTACTACACAAGTGCTTGGCAAGCTCGGGATTCCATTTTTAAAGCCGTCGGCGAGGTCTTTTTTACTCGACCGTCTTTGCCACGCGAATCTTACAACATTGCTTTAGGGGCTAAGAGAGCTAAGAGTTAGTCTCGACATCGAATTCCCCAAAAGCTATTTTTTAAACTTTTAAAATTTGATTACATGTTGATCGAAATATCCCTTCTCCCAGATGGTTGCCATCCCCTAAAAAAGAAAGGGTTCCCTATTCTGGGTCCGGTCGAGAGAGCGACGCGTCATGCAGCTACGTTTCAAAAACGAGAAGGGCATACTCTCTCAGCGCTTCTCAGTAACAGCATGTGTGGGTCTCCACCTGGTCGCTGACGTCTCCCGCGCTCGCCTTTTAACGACTCCTCATCTCAGGTTCTCCCGGAAACCAGAGACGGGATCGTTGGCGAGGGGGTGCTCCCAGAGTCGTAGGCTTAACGGCAGCCCATCTCTTCGGATTTCTCCTAGGGTTTAGGATTGACTGACTCTTGTGCAACAGCTGTTCACAAGAAACCCTTCCCCAGTCCTTCAAGGTCTCGCTGGAGTATTTACTACTACCATCAAGATCTTCAGCGGCGACGGCTCCAGGTGGGAATACGCCCTTCTGTACCTTTCTGCGCTCATCGCCGAGACCCTCTTACTCGTAAGGACTTATCGGCGCCGACCGCCGCTTTGTCTCTGACAAACCAACTCCTTTCATCGTTTCACATGAGCGTAGATTCAGGCGCCTTTACTCTGCGTTTGTTTCATCCCACACGCCAGTTCTGCTTACTAAACTTGGCTTAATTTCCACTCTGATCCAATTCCCACGACTTCGCTTTCGAGCAAGCCGGGATCTCATCTATCTGGAGTTTGATGTCGTTTCGCCTCAAGGCTTCCGTGTGCCGGGAGTGGGCAATTTGCATGCCTGCTACCTTCCTTGTATCTGGTAGCGATACTTAGGCTTCCTCCCGGATTTAAGCCTTAATACAGTCATGGTAGTCACAGAGTCTATAAGTCAGGCATTTGAATGTTAAATCGCCACTCCGAAGAGTTCATGCTATCTGCTGTATTACCCGGACTGGCCTAGAGATTGGTCTTGGTCTAATAAAAGCGCCCTGTTCACGAATGGGCACGCTTGGTTGCATGCATTACTTCTAGAATTACCACAGTTATGTAATGAAACTTATGTTATTTGTTATGAATACATAAATGTTATGAAACTGTAGTAAACTAAAAGTGATTTGCTGAGATTTTTGCGGTTTCTCTTTAATATATTATGCAGTCTGTATGAGACTTGTACAGCTTAAGCTTTGAGACAAGCATATGACTATTGCTAGACGCTAGCCCTCAAGGTGTGTCCTCCGGTATGTGTATGTACGCCCGAAGAACGCAGACCTCGAAAGAACGCCGGACGAGCCGACGAACAGAGGAGAGTTCCCGGGTCCGAGGCCCGCGGTACTACGGTCGGGCTCACGTATTAACTCTGTTCGTTCACAAAATCCTCAACCCTCGTGAGGGTTGTACAGAGTCTTCTCACAAATGTCAACGGCTTTATAGCGTTGTTCGAACACATTGTTCTGTGAACCGCCGGCTGCCCGTATCGTAATACAGCTCGTCGTACAGAGACCCCGTGACGAATCACGTGCTCGCGACTGATTTGATACTGGGCGTCGATGTGTAACGTACCTGCGGGGTGGGCAATGCGTCCGCGTCACATCAAGCCTCGACCAAACATCCCCTCATAGGCGGTCAAAACAGTGTTTAGAACGGAGGGACGAGCCAAATTCTACGGAAGAGGTGCCGCGGGAGTTAAGCCGCCCGAGCCCAAACGAACCGCCCTCTCCCTCACCCCACACAAATAGAGTATCTTGCGGTCCCACTTGTGCTAACACATTTATTTTCACCTCTTTGTTAAGCCATGAATACCTTTAGCCAGATACACTAACTGTTTTCTGCTTGTTTTACTCTCGTTAATAGCCCCTCTTCGAACTGTCGCGTATAGGGCCAATTCGACGCCGCGTCAATCGCGATGCGTCAGTTTTTGCCGACGGAAAGAAACACTCGACGTGTCGTCACGGCAGTACCAGCTCGCATGAGAGACCTGGCAGTCCACGATTCTCGAACGGTACAGAGCCCTCTAGAAGGCCGCCGGGCCGAGGCGCCGTTGGTGAGGTTGGCTCTGGGAAAAATTACAGGCGTTGTACCTTTCATTTCGCCTTCTCCAAACTCTTTCACGCCCATCTGGAGATGGTAGAGCAAAGACTAGTCGTCCAAAGACCAATGGCTGTGTTCTCGAGCAAATGCGAGCCGTGCAACTCTGTGTGTCCTAGTCAATTTTGGTCCTCTTATGGGCCGAAAAGCAATCAGTCCAAACTGATTTAATCTTCTTCGATCAGTGTGCTTAGTAATTTGGACACCTCAAACTTCCTGGAGGTGATGAATCACTTGAATAAAAGTAAGGTGCCGGTTTCGCGAAATTATCAAAGAAAAACCGCTTTCCTCTGGTTCTGTTACCCTAAGGCGCCCAGAACCAGGCCGTGGTAGGACCCTGTTCCTCGAAAACGTCTAACCGCGCGTCGTCTTGCAGTGTTTCATAGAGAACTCCGATGGCAATAGCTGCATACCTGATGGAACGCCAATCATCAATACGTGCCACGCCATGCGCAACAGCACTAAGTGACATTTTTAAGTTTAAAAATTGAGATTAAGAAAACAAAGTTTATTGCTGCAGAATCAATTGAGACAGAATAAACATTTTAAATTCCGTAAATAGTAAACATTGAAAACTCATTTAGGATTGTGTTTAACTCTAACTGATAGTCCCAATTTAAAACATAGCATAAACAAATATTTATTGATAAAAACAATGAGACAAATTAAGGGCAATTTATCGAGAAAATGAAAAAAATCAATTGGATAGAATTTTTATTAATATGAAATTTTGCAACTGTTCTAACCCAAAATGGCATTAGTCAAATCATATTTGATTCACACAAAATCCAAATTTCTTTCACACCCACATTCGTTTAGTCACATCCCCTTCATTTAACGAAAATCCATAAAAGTCAGATTTTTGTCTCAAAATGTTCAAAAAGAAGTTAACAAACTTAAACTCGTTTAAGTGAGAGCTAACACCTACAGGACACTAATCTGCTAGTCTGACTCAATTATGATTATTATTAGGCATACAAAGCTTACAAGACACTATTATCGAAGGCGTGAGATGACCTTAGCCGTGAAAACCTTATTTAATTTCATAATACAATACAAAGAGCCTGTGTTGAGAAATTGTTGGCTAAGAGATTTTTCTTACTTTCTTTCTTAGCTCAAACTTAATACTTTTATTAACCGCGATGTTAAAAAAAATAACACCATTTCTGTAAACTTGTTCTATCCGAATCCAATTTTTAAAAAAAACATTGATTTTGAAGGATTTCTTTTTTAAATTATAAAAATTGTTTTTCCAAGTTCGGAATTTAGTAACAAATGAAAACAATGATTTAAATTTTTAACCAAAAGTCAATTTCTTTTATTGTTTATTAATGTTCACTTATAGTCCAGTAGATTCCGAACTGACGGAGTATTGGCTTGTAGTAAGCAGATCGAATTGGTTCCCATCGCTCTGCAAGGCCCAGTTGGCGAAGGACATGTTCAAAGCCGGCGCTGAAAACATCATATCGTACCAGAGCGACAGCTTGTTAAAAGCGCTGTCAACCAGTGATCATTTCACTGTAAGCTCTTCACCAAGTAAATAGTCCGAGCGAGTTCAAATCTATCCCCATTGCAGATGGAGCACACCAAGAGACGGTCCGGCAGCGTGCTACGGGGTCTCAAGCTCAACCAGAACTATCACGTGCAAGTTTTCGCCGTCAACATCGACACCAAAATGAGCTATCTTTACGCAAATTCGACTGTGAAATACCAACGGACGCGGCCGCTTTCCCTGAAAGACGGACGACCTACTGTCGCCAGCATCAAGAGGATGGACGGCAGAATCACCTACCGATACAAGGTGAGCGAATTTTCGAACCTTTCTTTAAATTTAATTCATTTATCCACATTAAAAATAAAAATTGACCCTAAACATCCTTATTAAATAAACAATGAAGAACTAACTAGTAATCATGTCAATCTGTAGATCAGCCACACGTTCATGATCAATGTGAAATCTCGTGTAGAAAGTTACCGTGATTCCTGATAAAAGAATATAATAATCACACATTTAGGCAAACTATAAGACAAAACGGCATTTTATGCTGGATGTCGGCCATTAACGAATACGATGACCAATTCAAGCAGATGAATATATGCATGTCCAGTCAAGTCGAACCTAACGGGCAATTAGAAGACGACATACCACGATCCCAAGAAAAGTCTGAAAATCTCTGTACTATCTGATTTTGCAGGAATTGCCTTGGAAAGCTCTAGTTCAAATTAGCAGAATCATTGATGGAGCCTTCCGTCTTACAATTAATCTGTTCCAAATATGGAAAATTAAAGTTAATTTGATCCTTAAACCGGGTAAAGCACTGAATACAGAAGGTGAGTTTCCTAAATTATTGATGCTTTAGGACAATTGTTTTGCCTTCTTTTTGTATGGGAGAGGAGGGTCCAATAGGAGCAAACCTCTATGAACTTTTTAAAACTATAAGGATACTGACTAGTACTACACCTACTGGATGGCCGACTACACCAGCTCAACAACTCGCAGCATCAGCCTCCTCTCGCTTCTCACAACCGACTTATGGACCAGCCCCCTGCTGCCGGGACCTGCTGCCCGAGTCCCTTAATCCTTATTCTGCTGCCGAGTCTACCGACTCACGATGTCGTACACACAGTCCCGGCCGCATACACTTCAAAACAACACCGGTTTTCAGGGCCTCCAAAATTCCCAGTCACTAAAATGAATATTACTAAACCTGGATATTTTTGACATTTGTGCAACGAAGAAAAAGTACATTGCGATGGAAAATATGTCAAGAAAGGGGGAAACGACTCAACATCTGGAAAATGCTACAATTTGAGATTTCTGTTGCTGTATGTGAGACTTTGAACCTGTGGTTTGGTCGTTTCCAATCTTTATCTGCCTAGTATAGCTGCTTTTGTCCGTCCAACTTGTTTCGGCATTTCGCCAACTTCAACTTACTACAGATAGACCAACACGGCAAGACTAGGCAGTCGAGGATGATGAACGACCTAACTACAGATTCACCACTGCAGACCTCATGAAGTTGAAATGGGCAAGGGCTTCGCCACCAATAGGTGGTCTAACCCATGTTGACTTACGACATCCATATAAATTAAAACTTTAAAAATGATGTGTGGTAATTAGGGACCGTTAATCGATAATTATTCAGAAATCGTGAGATGCGGTCTGGTGTGATGTAGGTATCAGAAAAACATTTTCTTTATCGTGCCAACGTTTCGATCTTTATTGAGCCCTGAAGATGATCTCAATAAAGATCGAAACGTTGGCACGTTAAAGAAAATGTTTTTCTGAAACCTACATCACACCAGACCGCATCTCACGATTTCTGAATAATTATTTAAAAATGATTATTTTTTCTCATGGTTTTGTTCATTTTACAGGTGAAGAGCACGGAAACGTCCAGGAGGCTCGAATGGTCCATCCTCGCCTGCGGATCAGGCGCGTTGCTTGATGCCGAAGTAAGGCAAAAAAGGAAGACAATCTTGGAAAGAACGAGGATTTTTGGGTACGGCCGGCTGGTACTGGAAAATCCCAGACCTGGCTCGACATACGTACTCAGGGTGAATTCAACCGACCCTGAGATCCTCGACAGGATAAATTCCGTCCAGGTAAAATCATAAAATAAAAATTATAGGGAAGCAATTTTCTAATTAATCATAAGCTCAATGATGGTCATTAAGAATCCATATATTAGTTTAATTTGTCAGTCATACATTCTTCTATTTATATTTCTAGATTTTTGAAAATATTTTTTCTTTGTTAGGTTGTAGCAACAATGAGTGGTCTTAAAGAGCCGATATTGCCAAATATAACAATACTCAAAGAGAATCAAGAAGCGAAGGGTTGCAAGTCTGTCGTACTCCACTGGCTGCCTGCAAAAGGCACAAACTTAGGCTACTGCTCCATTGTCAAAGAAGTCTCAAGGGTGGACGACTTCATGCCAATCCCTGATCAATGCGGGCAAGAGAAAATGTTAAAGCATTTCAGCTACACTTCCAAACAATGCTTCCAGAGGAGTGACACTGACGGGTAAGTTTCCAGTACCCCAAGAACCAACATCTCAAACTAAGAGAAAATTGTGTAAATTTTAGGAACGTCATATCAGAAGAGATCAAGTACCTAAAACGAGGTAGAACCTACGATGTACAGGTGACGGTTCAGAACGGAAATTCAAAAATACTGTCTTACAAGGTGATACGTGTGAGGACGAGACCAAAATGCAATTGAATTTTCATAAAATAATGCAGACAAAAAGGCATTTCAACTTTCAACATTAAGGCTGAGATTGTGACTTAATTTTTTTCTTAAGTTTAGTGATGACTTTTTCACGTTTAAATTTTAGATGTCCGATAAGGTTTAATTATTTTAAAGATGCATTTTATTATTAAAACTTGTACATAACGTTTAATTTGTGTTTCTATTTATTTTTTATTTATTTTATAATATAGGTATTGTATGACAAGGTTTGGGACAACTTATCTCAACATTTTCATCGAGTTACCTCCCGAAATTAGATTTAATTAATTAATTTTCCTTCTTGTAAACAAACTCAATGTTTATATATTTTTACTTTTATAAAATGACTGTAGTATCGTTAGAAAATAAAAGCGTTCACCAAGTGCATGTTAATATGTTATAGATAAATTAAAATATAGGAAACTACATTGTAGTGATCAGTATTAGCAATTGTTGGCCAGTTGAAAATTTACAACTGGACTAAACTAAAAATAATAAAATTGCAATAAACTTAGCATGGTATCAAATTATCTGTAAATGTTTTGTACATATTTATATTTATAAGTTTAATACATTTAAAATTAAAATTTATTTAGTTGAACTTGTTTACTTATAAATATCAATCACTTCCTCTCCAATTACTTTATCATGAAATCCTATCTAACCAATCGCTGCTTCAAAGGCTTCAGAGTGAGGTGTGACAATTTCTCGGAAGGCACATACAGGTCGGTGTCCCACAAGGGAGCACTCTTGGTCCTATCATTTATCTATATACCCTAATGCCAATCCTTTTTAAAAATGATGGTTCCTACTCACATTAAGTATGTACTCTTAATGTGAGTAGGAACCATCTTTTTTAAATAGGATTGAACTCCACACTCACCCCATCATTTATAATTTCCCCTAATGCCAATGTCACCACCAGCGGACGATACTACAATTTTGTCCTCTATCTCAAATTCTATCCAACTACATCCTACATCCAAAACAGCTTGAACTCACCAAGACTTGTGCAAAACCTGAAGGACAAGACTGAATGAAGAAAAATGTATTCAATTTAGAATACAAGAGTATTAAGTACAAGTGTAATTACAACATTAATACAAGTGTAAAAATGTACATTCATATTAAAAAAATAGTCTTGCCCATCAACATCCAATTTCAATAAAAATCAAATACTTAGGACTGTACCTAGACAGCAAACTGGCTTGGAATCTTCACACAAGACTTAAGGGACAACTTAACACAAGACGCAACTACGAAGATGTCTAGGACTGAAATCCATCTTGACCATCAACACTAAACTAACCACAAGAATAGCACTACACCTTATGTCCTGAAGATGACCCGAATAAAGGTCAAAATGTCGGCAAAAAAATGAAAAAGGTGTTTTTCTAAACTACCTCATTCTTGACTGTTCCGCATAGCTTCAAACAAATTACTAAACTAACCTTTTAAAAGACTTTACTGCCACCACTTTCGACATAAGGATTGGAACTGTGTGGTTTTGCCAAGCCATGTAATTATCCAGTGCATCCAATCCTTCTGATTAAATGTTCCCAGAAAAATTGTCAAAGCTCTTTACTACATCATTAACTTTACTATCCACAACAACGCAACATTCCTTTTGTCAACAAACATATCCATTCCAAACTTTTCACACCAACTTCTTGATACATCCTAACACTTCTGGCTGGTTTCTCTTGGCATGTCTTCCGGTTGTAGCACTGGCATTAGTGTTAGTACTATGACAGTGTGAAAAAAAAACGTTTTGTGTTGACATTTCTAATATGTATAGATAAAGAAAATGTTTTTCTGAAACCTACATCACACCAGACCGCATCTCACGATTTCTAAATAAATATGTTTAGGCTATAAATAAAATAATTTGAAAAAAAAAAGAATGTCTAGAGGATTCTTGCTGCAGTACACCTGAATCCAAAAACTACTAGTAAAATCTCGAACTCTCCCCTCCAAGAAGTTCATTATAAAGGAAACTTCATTCACTACAACTTTTCCTAAGTTACTTTTTTGCAAAATTTAATAATTAATATTTACAATATAGAAGAAAAAAGCACATCCTTTGGCTGTAAAAGTTGGGAAACACGATGCATTTTTTACTCTGATTACATTTAAGGTTTAATATACCACTTCAATTACTGTTAGATCACTATGATTGTGACCACTTTGAACCACTTTCTTATTTACACACCACTTAGTTAGGGTCGTGAAGTACTCAATATTCCTCCATCACCCTTTACACCTAACTCAGGGTTGATAAGATACTCATATTATACCATTAGCCCTCTCGTACATACCAATAAATACATCCAATCTAAATTCACATTAGGGTCACTAAACTATCAGTGTTTCAATAAAACAAACCTATTTTCTCCAAAAGTCGGAATTGGGTACCCAGATACTCACTGCCAGCTCAATCACAATTCTCTTCGGTGTGCCATTCCTACACACTCTATATGGAACAATGTTATTAACCCTTCAACTAGATGTGACACATTGAGCAACCTTTCTGTTCATGTCAGACCCAAACAAAGGCTTTGGCCAAAGTGTCGGTGTTTCGATCCCTCATGGCCTATTTTTAATCAAGTGGCAATGACCTCTCTTGTACGAGTCAGATCCTATGGGCCACCTATCAACAGGTTCTTGATCCACCTTTCCATTACCCTACAGACCTATGTGCTATGTGCCTTGGTTACCTTTTTTTGCCAAGAAAAAAAAAATTTGTTTTACATTATTGCAGTAATTTGGCTATTGTTAATTTTTATTTATCCAAGCAGCCTCAGTCCCATTTAGTAAAAATTAGTGAGCCTATACTGTACTTGGAATAAGGATTAAACTATTTTTTATCAGGAATGATCAAACAACAGGAGAATGTTGGTTTAGAGTACCTGAGATATTAAAAAAATTATTTACTTTAGTTCAAAGTCTTACATGTTTTTCTTTTAAATAGAATATATTTACAAATTTAATTTGTACAATATGCAATAAGAGATTATAAAATGTAAAAATTTTACTGTCATACTTTTTTTACGAATCTGCATTTTAAACAATTCTCCCCAAAATAGAATCAATGTTGTCCTTATATTCGTGAATGTCAACATTCCTCCCTCTCACCTGGAAATATTTTTGTATTATATNTTTTCTTAAATAGGATTTAAAGACAAAATATAAATTACCGTAAATGAGGTCAATAATTGATGAGAAGCCGCCACTTTTCTATTATAGGGGTTTATAGACATCAAATGAACCCATACAACATTAGCTTCTTTGAATGCGATTCTCAAATAAGATGATTGACAGGCTTCCTGTAAATGAAATTTGCAATAAAAACAATAGATAACAAGATAATTTTGTTCACCTGAAGGGCTTTGGGCTGAAATTTGCTCAGGTAAAGGTCTAAAGCATCGAGCACACACTCGAGCTCCTTTCCCAACACATCCATATTAGCGCACAGAGTGCCGATGTCTTTCAAAAGTGCAAGCTGCAATTTATACTGTTGCGAAAGCACGTACGAACCTGTTGACTTCTCATTTTTACTTTTCTCAGCGCTGTCGCTTAATACTTTACACAATGAAGGCATCACTTCTCTGAAACGATTATAAGCAATGTAGAAATTGGCAAATTTCCTGGCACAATTTTAAAAATACTTACTTTAACGTCTGGGCTCTGACGAAGTCTTTGGAAGTATTTCCCAAGGTTGTTAAAAGGACGAAAGCCCTGTGGATTATTAAAGGGCTATTCCTGTAGCTAAACCTAGTGACGAGGGGAGACCAGATTTTGTATGTTATCGGAAGAAGATCGTCCTCCCAAGGTGACAGGATCAAAATCCCCTTTTCCAGGATCTGCAATACGATAATCTGTTGCTGCTTGTCTTTTGATGGAAGGAAGTGCAGACTCCTTTTCAAAATGTCTATGGTAAATTTGACATAGTCAGGGGGTTTTATTTTTTCCTCTGTTTCACGACCTTTTGTCATTTCTTCTACTGTGATATTTTCATTTCTGCATTTTAAAAAACAATCACAAATAAATTTATTTGATGTTATGAATTTATTTTGTAAAAATGCATACTGGATGTTTTCATCTGGCCTCATCCAAGCCTCTGAATCATGCATTGCCTTGTGATACTCTAAAAGTTCTTCACAGAGCGATGGTCTTTCTGCTACTAAATTTATTTCTGTATCTACTTTTTTGTAAGGTGCCTTGTTTTTTAACCATTCTAATAAGCAAGATACAAAAGTGTGAAAAACGTGAAGGAACGCTAAGCAATTTACTTCTTGAAACGTGTCACAACTCTGGACTAAGACCTATGGAAAAAAAACATTTAAACACATGAAAATGTTAGTTGGGGGGGGGGGATAGAAACCAACATCATTAACAATATCGTATAGAGAAGGTAACACATCAATCGTAGAATGTTTCATAATGACTGAAAGTACTGACAGCACTTTTGGATTTTTTTCAACATATTTTAAATTTACTGTCACATGATGGGAAAGGTAGTCGACATTTTGCGCCACCAAATCGCCAACACCTCCACCGTACAAACTAGCTATACGGTTCACAGATTTCAAACCTGCAAAAAAATTTATTATTTGACTTGAAAATAAAAAATATCAATTGATACAAAGTAATGAATGTGCCAGACCTGCAATGGATATCGCAAAAAGAGGACTTCCTGCACTCTCCAGCAGTGGGTAGAGACAACGAAGTATAAGAGGTGCAAAAGCATCTTTTCCTAGGGCTGTTGCTATTGTTGCCACACATTCTGTCAGCAAGCAGGTCTGAAAATAAAATTTTCTATAAAGCCAGCCACAACGGTAATAAAGTTTATTTAAGTGTACTTGAATGACGTTCGCTTGTGCTTCAGCCCTAGTTTCCGCTCCATCTTTTCCTACAGTGACTGGCAATTTCCAAGCCAACAAAGGTTCCATTATTGTTATTAATATGTTTCGCAAAAGATCCTCTTTTTCACTGTAAGTTCCTGGATTTTCTACAATATTAATGAGCTAAACTTTAATATAATATTCAGCAAAGCTTTGTAAAAAAAAAAAAAAAAGTCAAACCTGCTAATCAAAGGTAAATTAATATATTGCATTGTCCGTAAAATTATGCCTACAGATGAGCGAAACAATAGATTCATCAGACTCTATGAAATTCATCATTATGGCAATTGAGATAAGAAATCTGATAAGTCCAAAATGTTTCAACAATTTTCTCCAGGACTGTAATAAGAAGGCTCAATGAAAATAACCCCATGACCCGGCACCCGGCTCATAGACTTCTTACCACAGCACAGAAAATGGCCATGCTTCAATTCGCACGGAAATACGTGTATTGGACATTGGAAGATGGGAGACGAGTTCTTTGTACAGATGAGGTGAGAGTTGGCCTCAAATCTTTAAACGGGCTTTCATATGTATATGCTCAGGAGAAAGATACACCCTACGCTGTATGGTTCTGCGGTGGCATTTTCTTGGATGCCCGCATTGAATTGGTTGTTGTGAAGGAAGATCTCTAACTCACAGAGGTACTTACAAGATATAATTGAAGATCAAGTGCTATTTGCCTTCCCCCACATCAGCGAGAGGTTCTTGTTAATGCAGGATAATACCAGGTCCCATAGAGCTCAATGTGGATGACTACCTGAATTAGGTTGGAACTGAGTACTTGGTATGACCAGCTTGAATTCCAGATTTAAACCCAATTAACACATTTGAGACTAACATAAGCGACGAGTATAATGGCGAAACCCAGGTCTGAATATCCTAGAAGAGTAGTAAATAACTGTTCTTGATGAATGGGAAAGAATTCCTCAGGATTTTACCAGAAATCTTTTCAAGGAATGGTAGTGGAAATACTCTGTATTAAAGATGGCCAAAAAAGTTTTTTTTTTGTACTCGATATTTGTTTTTTTAGAAAAATGTCTTAATTTTTACAACCAAGCCTAATTTTTGTATGCCAAATATGAATAAACTTACGTACATTAAAATTTTAAAATTTAAAGGTGGTGCATTTATTTTGTCAATCAGTGTAGATATCTCATAGACATCTAAATTTAAACCCCAGTGCCCTGAAACTTCGACTTTACTATTTTCCCATAAGATTTGGGGGACCAATGACCTGAAACATGGTGCTAACAAAACCGAGGAGTGGTTATTGTAAAATGCTCCCTGCCAACTAAAAACACCCCTACAATCACCGAATTTTAACCCCATTGAAAATCTCTGGGAAGAAATGAAGAAGGTTGAAGATAAGACTGAAAGCTAAATGGAATAAAAATAAACTTCACTTGATTGAAGCTGTCAAAGAAGAAAAACAGACTTCTTGAAGTGCTCAAAAATAAAGAAGGATAAAGAGATAAATTTCATATGTTAATTAATTTTGTTGCATGTTTTGCACTGTATGTGAACTTTTTTCTTCAGGTTAATTATAACTTTCATGTTTATTATTTAAACTTAGGAACAATTAAAGAAAAAAAGGTTTTGCATGTAAATTCATTACAAATTTTACCATTTTATTTAAACCTCAATATGATGTACTGAAAACATATACAGACTTTTTTTACTAAATGTATGTGTTTGAATTTAGCCACTATGAAATCACATTTTTAAAAACCAATTCAAAATTTTGTCGAGAAAAAATTAATTACTTTCATATAATTTATTACATACCTGTTGATAACATGTAGTGGAGGATAAGAATGATTTCTTTTCTATATTGAGTGCTAGAGTTGAACTCATCAAGTAAACTATGAACAATCACAGACATGTCGGCATATTCCACTAATTTCTTGCATACATTTTCCAGGCAGAGTTGGCATTTTGGTGTACTGGCGTATTTTAGTTGTTTCCAAACGCTGTCTTTAATATTCGACTCTTCATCAACCTCTAAAATTACAAGTGAAAATAAGAAAATAATTTTTTTTTAATCCTGAATTTAAGAACCGTAATACCTCGGATCGCCATTTCTTCAAGCAAAGAGATCATGTTGCATTCAAGTGTGGCTGCAATTTGCAAGCTCCTGAGAAGTCTGGACAGATGTTGGACTGAATTCGTTATCTTCTGAAGGGTTTTGGACCCGAGCAGATCAAAATAGCCACTTAGAAGCTGAAGATGGCTTTCCTTAATACTCAAATCTGTCAGGAGAAAAAATGTTTCAAACACAAACAAAACACATACATACTTAATACGCACCAACACCCCGAAGGATTCTAGGCAATCTAGTTAGTAGAGCATATAAACATTCTTCAATAATTTCCATAAGTTTTCTTTCTTTATTTGCATCACATTTTGTTGAAAATTGTTCTATTACTCTTTTACTAGCCTTTACAACTTCTATATGTTCATCTTGTGATAATATTATAAGAGTGTCAATAAGAAAATTCAGAGAGGAAACCATTGACCTAAACATCAATAATTTAAAAATTAAAACTCATTGAATTTTTTAAAATAATTTTATACATGTGTGTTTAGTGACCTTTAGCCAATGATTATTTGGAGATTGTGAGGTGCAGTCTGGTGTGACGTAGATTTTAGAAAAACATTTTCTTCATCGTGCCAATGTTTCAATCTACAATTAATTAAGGTTTTTAGTTGAGATGAAAAAAAGCTAATGGCACGAGGGGGATTCGAACCCACGACCTTCGGCTAAATACACCGCTGCTCTACCATCTGAGCTATCGTGACCTCGATCCACTCGGACATCAACTCCCCATCTCAACCCCACCTTATGAGTTTTCCCTCCTTTTGCCATTTTTCAAATGTCGTGTAATCGGTTTGGACTCTCGATGACAATTGAAATGGCGACGGAGAGCTTTAGTGAAGTGTACTTCAGTTAATTCATTAAATTCACTAATTTCGTGGTCCGCTTGACCAATTAATTGTAATGTATTAATTGGTCAAGCGGACCACTAAATTAGTGAATTTAGTTTCAATCTTTATTGAAATCATCTTCAGGGCCTGGGATTTATAAACATTCCTTTTTAAAAAGAAAGATAGTTCCTACTCACAGAAAGTTATTTTGCAACAATCTGGATTTCGAGCACTTTAGCTCATCATCAGGTTGAAGGACTTTTACAACTTTTACGATCGTTGCAAAACAACTTACTGTGAGTAGGAACTATCTTTTTAAAAAGAATTGAACACCACACTCACTTCATCATTCATCATTTCTATTTATAAACATTGTTTAAATTTTACAAATACATGTGGATGTGAAAAAAAAATTATACAATGCTAGAAAATTGTAGATTTAAAAAAAAATGAATTTATACAATGCTGAACATTTTTTGTTTTAGATTGAATCAAAGTATTAGTACTCAATAAAAACTTTTTAATCAAAAAAAAATATTTTTAAAAAATAAATAAAAAAATATTTAAAAAAATTTCTAGCATTGTATAAATTCATTTTTTTAATCTAAAATTTTCTAGCATTGTATAAATTATTTTTTTTCTAGCATTGTATAAATCCGTTTTTTTTCCACATCCTACATGTATTTGTAAAATTTAAACAATATTTATAAATCCTAGGCCCTGAAGACGATCTCAATAAAGATAAAGAAAATGTTTTTCTAAAACCGACGTCACACCAGACTGCACCTCACGATCTCATATTATCATAATTTTATACCTAGAAGCTTCGGAAAGAATGTAATCGATTTCCAAGACCAGCTTTTTACGAACTCTCCAATTCTCATGCTGCATTTGCTGAACCATGACCACCACTACTTTTGACAACATTTTCCCAGTTGTTTCTAGCCAATTTTTGTCCCTTTTCTGGCCGTTGATGATCATTTTCATATCCTCCGGGGTGTTTGGTTTGAGCTGATCAATTGGCTTTGTGTTTGGGTTCATTTTGAAGACCTTAGGAATCGGGCCGTACAACAAGCTGTCTTCCATAACAAGTCCAATCGTCCTGCCCCATATCTGGATGGCGATCTGAAAACAATTTTACGTTAAAGACAAGCAAAATCAAATATACATCCAAAGTACACAATTTACCAAAATCAATTTGTGATTTTGCGTTATAGAATTTGTTACGACTTCAATGCAAACTGACATAATGCCAGGCACCATCAGCATTATGATGCTCGCAACACGTTCTTTAAAGTCGGGATCTTGGTACTTTTCATGTGCTTGTATAAAAGTCAACAAGCATTGCAAAGCTTCTAGCCTAAAAAACACCATAGTTAAATATTTAATAGATCATAATGTTTGTACTATTGCAGTAAATTCTATTGGAAAGAGGACGTCTGGCAGTAGAGTTGTGCCTTAGAGAGCAAAGGTTACCTGCCATATTCAGGGTGGTCATCTAGTCTATTTTATGTTACACAGTTCAGATGTGAGAAGCAGCAGAAGGTGTTCTGTATATTTTATCAGAAAACTTTTTAATCGCCTCATAACACGCCTTAATAGATTTTCCACCTTGAGACTGAGCTGGATGTGCCATGCCTAGATGATGAATCTCCACCTTATTTACATAATAAAGATGACTTCCATGACCAGCATTCCAAAAAATTTGACAGTAGAATGTAAAAAAGAAAACACATTTTGGCAGACAATTTCTCATGTCTGGCCATACATATTTGGCAAGGAATTACGATATCCTGGACCTCCTTGCACAGATGGATGGAAGGCATTTTTTTTTTTTTTTAATTCACCAACAAGAAACTAACAAATTTCAAGACGGCCAACTGACCAACACACTTGAGTTGTACTGGAAGTTGACTAGATGTGCAAGACTAAAGAACAATGTGGAATTCAGTTTTAAGGCAGAATCACTAAACCTTAACATCAGACCCTATGATGAAGATAGGCAGACAGATCAAGTGTTTGATGTGCAACACAAATGCGGAAGACACTCTCCACTTCCTCTGCATGTACCCAGGCCTTAACGAATTTAGAAATGCAGCACTTGGGAAAATATGATTGACAAATGAAGAGGCGATAAGCAGCCTGTAGATACCGCCAATTTTTAGTTGGAGAATTTGTTTTGTTTTTTTATAATGGTTTGGTCCAAAAGTATTTTTAAGTTATTTATAGCTTCAAACAATTTGTTTTATTTTAATTTAAATCTTTAGTTTTGTCATTTTGATTCACGGTTTTGATTTAATTTTGTACTTTTTAATTTAGGTTTTTCATTTATTTGTATTTGTAAAACAGTAAGATTGACTTTACAAAAAATGTAAAAAGTTTAATTTTTTTTTAAATTGCTTTATCAGTTACTGATCTCCACAGCGGCACATTTAGCTGAAAGTCGTGGGTTCAAATCCCGCCTGACACAAATTTTTCATTTTGAAAAAATTGTGTATAATTAATTAAGTAAGTCTACATTATGCTTATTTTGCACACTTAAAAAAAGCATAATATTGTATTAATAGTTATAATAGTTGACTAAATGTTTTTTTTTCCTTTCTTCTTAGTAATATTGGAGCTTACCTTAAAGTAATAAATTTTTCACTTTTTGCTATTTGTATGCAGCTGTACATGGCTATGCTTATTTTTGGATAATAATTTCTAGAGTAAACGTCCTCAAGAACAGTCTTCGAAGTTTTGTTTAGCAACGTGTTTAAACATTTCACAACCATTAATTTTAACTCTTCTGGTAGTTCCAACACTAACAACAAAAGAAAAAAAATTCCATATATAAATTATATTACAATAATGTACAGAGTAATAAAGTAGAGACTCACAAGTTTCCGGTTTTGAATCATCTAATTGCAGGAGTATTAATGAGAAAATTCGCCAAAAGTGTGAACTCTCCTCGACTAATGTCATTTCCAAGACAGCTTGAAGGGAGTCAAGCAAGTGGCAGACAGTTTCTCTCCTTTACAATAAATAAATAAAAAATTAAGACCACACACTTTTTGCCTCCTGTTTTTAACTTACTTTTGCGCCTTTTTATTCCCAAGGTGAATAAAAATTGGAAAGAATATATAGCTTTTGAACTGGGATATCATTGCAGGATCAAGCCCCTTCAACGCCGAGTTCAATTCCTTGCAGGACTGCTTATTGGGGCTCAGCGCGATCTTGTCACAAGCCGATTTCAAAGTTTTGAAAGTCTTGTGGAACCTGAGCCTCTCCTCTAGGCTAAGCTCTTCCATAGTTGACATTCTAAATTCCTAAAAATCTGTCTTACATTTCAATATTTTAAATTTATAATTCAACACATTTCCTTACCAGCATGAATTCACATTTGTATCAATTTCCTGAATGATATATTGAAATTTTTGTTAAATAAAGAACGATTGTGATATCTTTACCTAGGAACATTTTGTGAGTTCATTTGGTCATTTAACCACTGCAATAGACTAAGTGTAATAAAATTTGAACTAACATCACTGATTTAAGTTAAATTTTGAAGGAAACAAGATTAAATTTTTAATTTTAATTTAACGGTCCATTTTGACATTAGTTATACAGACAAATCTAAGCTACTGACTTTATAAATATAAACCCGATGAAGAGTCCTTTACAAACAGTTAAAACTCTTTAATAAATCGTTGATTAAAATCGAAAAATCCAAATATTGGTATTTTCAAAGTTTATAAATAATTATAGAGAGCAATGACATTTGTGTAAAAGTAAAGAACAGAATTATTAAAATACCAATCTCAAAAATTGACCAAGTCTCTAGATTTGTTGACTAGTAGGTAACACGTGATGTTACAGCATAAGAAGGAAGGCTTCAATGCACTGGCAAATTTATGATAAGAGCCAAAGCTAGCATTATTTATGTTTATGCACACATAATGTCCTCACATAGGATAGAATACTGAAGAAAAGCGGAGTGTTGATCTGTAACCTTTAAAAGAAAACTGGTGTAAAAGTTCAACAAAAAAATAAAATAAAATACACCATCACACCTTCATGCATAACATTAATTCTTTGTTAATTTTAATTATTTATTTTAAAGGTACAAATAGGGCTTTAAGCCCTTTACATGTACTTACATTAGAAATAAATTAAGTTTTATAAACATAATAACTTAGTGTCACGAGCAGTATTTGAACCCACAACCTCCAGCTAGGGGTACTGCTCGTGACACTAATTTTTCACCTCAACAAAAACCTTAGATAAAAAGAATAATTAATTGGAATACAAAACAATAATGACAATAATATATTCTTTAAAACATATTATTTATAACCGAACCACGTATGTAAGAAAAGAAGAAAGTGGAAAAAGAAAAAAGAAAAGATGATTCATGCCGTTTTCAAAAACTCCGACGAGGAAGCAGGACATACTTCCCGGGGAAGCAAATTCCATAGTCATGACCCTGCAATTCTGAATGATAAGGCTAAAGGCTTAGAAGAGTGTTGAAGGCTTGGGATATGATTGGTGGGTTTGGATAATGAATTTTTTTTTGTCACCTATACATGATAGTATACTATACAAATATGTACACATGATTAATGTATCACACAACACAACAGCATTAATGCCAGCACTGCACCAGTAGTACACACGCTTTGAGGAGCCAGCCATTACTGGCACTTAGTGTGTATGATTAGGGGTCAAGGTATGGTTAGGATGGTTCAAAAGATTGGAAGGTTTGGAATCTGGATCCGATAAGTTCGTTATCAACAGTAATGTTGAGGTCTTTGTTGATAGTGAGGATAGTGTCATAATAAGGTGCTCTGACAATTTGTCTAAGGACATTCGATTGGAAGGACTGGATGCACAGGATATTGGAAGGCTTGGCATTACCCTACAGTTCCAGTTTCTATGTCCATACTGGTCTTAGTAAAGTCTTGTACAGCGTTAGCTTTGTCTTAATTGTCAAAGTCGATTTCGGTCTTAGAAGTCTTCGTAGTAGTCCAAGTAAGTTGTTGTTTTTTAAGTCTTGTGTGGGGATTCCATGTTAGTCTGCTGTCGAGATATAGTCCCAGGTATTTGACTTGAATGGAAACTGGTATCTTTTTGTTGATGTACAATGGAGGGCAAGATTGCTTTTTCAGCGTAAACGTTCACTGAGTGCATTTTTCTTCATTCATTCTTGTCCTAAGAATGTTAAGGGTGCTGAAAACATTAATACAGGATGAAATATGATCCCTTGGTTTAAGATCAGTACTAATGACAAGCAATTTGAAGGCAATGAGCACATTGAGAACCCAAGGAAAGTGAAAAATAGTGCTAAATAAATTATTTGGAATTATCACCCTTATTATATCATTAACCTAATTAGGGATCGATGGAATCAATATTCTATCATCGGCCCTCTCACACTGCACATTCACACTATTAAATACATTCTCTCAACACATTTCCTCCAAGAATCAAAACAAGGGACCCAGATACCCGTTGCCATGATCAAGCACATTTCTCATAACAGGTGGCATTCCTATGGCCTCGTTATATACAGCCAAGGAATTGCACCCTTCAATTAGAGGGGATACATCGAGCAACTTTTCTCTGCATACAGGACACTTTCAACTTAGCATGGCCTATTCTTAATTGGATGAAGATGACTCTTATTCTATGAGTTGACAGAGAGGATTATTAAAATTAGACAAATATACTTTTTATAAATGTAGTACTGTTAAATATAAACTTTATTTACACCTTTTTTTGTTATAGAATAATATGTACAATAAAGAAGAAATTAGAAACAAGCTGCATAAAATGTTACACTTTTTTCTCTAACTTCCCTGATTCTCTTCAAATGCCTCAGTATTGTTAAGATCGAAAAATCTTTTTTACCAAGTTTGATTTTCCCTTGTGTGTCAAAGTCTTTCAACGTGCAAAAGTAATTATCTGAAAATTTGGAAGTATTAAAAGTTGGACTTTGTTTCATGTTATTTTACACCATTACCTGTTAGTGTGTTACTCATTTGTTGCTTCCATATTGCACACTGCTCCATTTCTTGCTTGGTTTTCACCATTTTTTTAGGTTTGGTTAAAAGTGCATTTTTCTTGTTCAAAACGTTATTGTAAATGTCGATAAATCTGTTGATATCCGACAATTTCAATCGACCTTTCATATACCTGAAATTAAATTTCATTGCAGGTTTAGCGCTTTTAATAAAGGTTTAATAATGTTTTTGACAAGTGACGCACTGTGGAACTTGGCTAAATTCATGGTTTGTGACATAATTAACAGAAGCCTCAAGGTCCCTTCTCGGTTCAGGTGTCGGTATATTCGACTTTTCTAAGCAAGTCAATACCAATTTATTTTCAGGTGGTTTTGATACTCCAGTATCAAACATTCTCATATTCTCCTTCTGTGACATGTCAGTTTGTTCCAATGGATTAATAGGCGACAAGCTGAGTAGCTGCTGATTCATGTAATCATATTTTGATTCCTGAAATAATTATATAAACAATTAAAACAAGTAAATAGAATTAGAAGATAGATTATCAAACCTGTTGAGGATAATTGACCTCCTGGGTGAGTAGTTCCTTTGGAAATGTATTGATCACATACTCCATCCTTTTATCCAATTCGTCGAGCTTATGCACTACTATCTATTTCAAAATAAAAATCATTAACCTAATGCTATGCATTATTAGACAAAAACATACTTTATCTTCTTCGAGTTTCTTTACCGCGTCATTCAACACTGATTTGTATTTTGTTATGAGCATCTTCATGTTGTCTATTTTTTTGGTGAGATTTAACAGATTTGCTGTTGTCGAAGGATCCCTGTATCCATCCATTATGTCCACGGCCAATTTCAACTCATTCACCTGGGCCATAAGCTCCTCCATTCTAAATCTAAAATGTTAAAACACAATTTATTTTCAATAATTCACAAATTACATTGTCCAAACGACACTTTCGTTGAGGTCTGAGAGGTGAATTTTTAACAAAACCTACCACTGAAAGTAGCAAAAAGCATTAAACACACCTGACAGACCAAACCAGCAAACAAAAAGGTTTTTTTTAACACAAAGGCTTTGAAGACTTCAGTAATACAGGGAAATGCCCCTTTAAAGAAGAGTAACAAAGTCAACTGATTTCTGCGAGAAAGTTCCTCTAATCAAAACACATTTTAGTCAGCAAAGAAATTAATAAATCAGTAAAATATACTTTCGATGTAACATTTTATGTTTTTTGTGAGGGTCTATGTAGGTGTAGATTCTTGCAACTAGGCGAGAAAGAGCTGCATTGATATGGAGGTTGACTAATAACCTGAAGCTGGCCAGTGAGTAATAAAAAAATAAAATGCAATAGATCTGCTCAGGTCGAGGTGGCCAACTCTTTTTATCCCTATCCATGATGTAAATGTTTTTATAATAGACATTTCTGGCTAATTGGCTCATCCTTTATAGCCCAAATGAATCACGTCCCAATTCTCGTCTCCATACTCGAAATTTTTTTAAATAAATCGTTATTTTTTATATTTTCTATTTAAGTTTAAATGGTAATAATTTAATCTAATTAATCTACCACTCTAAAACACTAATTTTGATTTTCTTACTCTTTCAACATTAAATTTTAGGATTTTCTCTTGAGGTCTGAGGAGTGATGAACCTGCAGCTTCATTTGGTGAGATTTTGAGACTTTAACTGATTGTAGGTACAAATAATATAAATATGTATTTGTAAAGGGGCTTAAAGCCCTATTTGTTCCTTTAAAATAAATAAATAAAATAAATATGGAAACAGGCGTGAGATAAAGCACAAAATATAAAGAAAATTCGTCAACTTACACGTTTAAATGTAAAAGTTACACTGAAATTGCAATATAAATTTTTAACCACAAAAAATCAATATTTTGTAAAAGGAAATCAAAATTTTGTCTTTTGTTGAATAAAATGTTGAAGAAATCTCTCGAAGAATGTTATCACCACTTTACCGCGGTTTTTTTGATCGGGAGGTTATTTCATGTTATAAATGTGTTTACTGTAATCCTAATTCCTAACGATTATAATAAACCATAATTGAAAAAAATTACATGTACATAAATATTTTTACTTTTTATACAAATATTAAATTTTTTTCATCTTTGGAGCAATTTTAGTTAAAGGTTTGTATACTCGAATATGAATATGTAAAAGTGAACTTTTTTCTATATACTGTGCTCTCTTAGTAAACTGAACTAATTAGGGGAGTATTCGGTTTACAGAGGGTGTTAAAAAAATGCATACATATGCACAAAAACATTCAACACAAAACTTTATTATTATTGTATTGCATACATAAAACGTTAAGCGTATTAAGTACGCACAGACAATGTCGATTTTTCTTTAAAAATCACTTTTTCGAAAATGTATTTATCATTTTCGTCAGTGTTTCTTCCTCTCATTCGTTCATTTTAAGGAGTAGGTAGATTATATTTAACACGAGGAAAATGTAGTCTGTTCTATTTCATTTATTAATAGTAAAGAGTGGTGGGGGATTCACTGAACAAAAGAAATTCTCGAAAATAGTGTATTTGCGCTGGTCTTGGTCTTTTGTAAGTCACACTCTTCGTCCCTTTCTCTCGTTGGAACCTGTTTAGTCCTGAGTTACACGGAGTTCTGTCTTAGGTCCATTCTTATTTTCCATCTCTGTCAAGGTTACCCATTCGACCCCCCCCCTGCCAAGCATGCTAACCGAACAATCCAAAAGCCCCCAAGATCATCCCCTATCGAAACCAATTCTACAAACAATTCTTCTAATACATTTCTTTTATAAGCTTCATTCGTTCTAAAAATTTAAAGAGGGAAATAAGGGGCTTCCATCGCCCAGTATCTCATGCAAAGACTCAGGTTGGAACTTTATTCTTCTCATGGTATAGCAGTAACATGTGGTAAGAATGTTTTATAGTCAGCCCCTCATTACATATCAAACATATATAGGAGGGGATAATGTATCTTGTGAGGCTGTATACTCAGCTGAAGTCTCTGTTTTTGCCAATGATTTACTTCTTAAAATATCAGATGAATGTGAAAAATGCTTCAAATAACAACAAATTAGACATTGTACAAGTTGGAGAAATGGGCATGCGACAATAAATTATTTAACTCCCAAAAGTCAAAACTGCTTTATGTAACAAAAAACAGCACTCAGGGAACCCTGTCTCTGTTTTCCTATGGGGAGAATGATTAGAAGAAGTAACCAAATTGTGTTATTTGGGAGTGTGGTTCGACTCTACAGTGTAGACTGTACTACACTACAGTAAATAACTTAAATAGGTGAAAAGGCAGGACAACTTATCCACGCACTTTCACATTCAGCAAAGGTATACTGGGGAATGGGAAATGAAGCCCTCAATATTATATACTCAGGAGCTTGAAACCTATTTTGTCATATGCCATCTCAGTTTGGTTTGAAGGCATAAACTGTGCTTACAATGTTAAGAAACTGTGGTCACCCAACACAAAATAACCCTGCAATGATAAAAGGTTCCAAAACAATTTCTTTTAAGGCTGCATTCCTTCTGGCAGGAATAGAGCCAATATAAATGAAACTTGCTGCATGATTGAATATTATGAAACACTGCACGGTACTGTCCATATTCTGCATACACAATCAATAGCAACATACCCCACACCTCTGGGTACATCCAGCATGATTTTCGACTTGGAAACAGGACCCTTTCTACTCTATATGCATTAATGAAAGTAAAATAAATGACAGAACTGGCTGTGCCTTTGTAGTGTTCGAGAACGATCAAACATCGGCTATCAGTTCACAGCTCTTCCATCTTGCCAACTGGTGTAACAACTAACTAATTGATAGTTATTAACTAAATTATATTAGTAATATATATAGTGACTTGGCTGAAAAAACTTATTGTCCCACTACCTAAAAGGACAGCAAGGATTTGGACAGAAGATAGCCAAACTTCCATCTGGTTCCTAAGAAACCCTACAGTTCAAACTGAAAACATCTGAAGAAATATGGCCGAACTGCAGGTCACCCAAGGCTGAAGGATCTCTTTGAAATGAGTAATGGCTCACCAAGGAATCTCTGGAAATGAAAAGGAACAGCTGTGAATGAGTATGGCGCAAAAATTGTTGTCCTTGTACCCAGCTCATATGTGAAAAATCAATGCGAAGAATACGCAAAGGCATTGTGAAGCGAGAATGGAGAAATGCGACCAATGTATCCCATACAAAAAAATTATTCCCAACTTTGGAAGACAGGCTGTCACTACGCTTCAAAATCACGCATTAAGTCATGTAAGCACTCCCAGTCTCAGCAAAAATGCAACCTACTTTCATCACTTTGGTCTTAAAACATCCCCCTTATGCAGCTGCGATGATGGGAACAACTCTTATTCAATTGCACAAATTTTGAGCAACCATGAAGCCGACTCTTAAATGGTCCTTCAAGGAAGATGGCCTCCATCACTGGAGAAATTATTAAAGAATTTCACTAAAGATTTCCTTAACTTTATCAACAATATGGACTTAAATTTTTATTTAATAAAAAATGTAAATAAGTTATCTTAAAAATCTTAAGATAAAAATCTTAAAAAAAGTAAATTATTTTAAAAAATTTACATCACCATTTAAATTAGTACATAGTACTTACCAAGTAATGTTAAAGTAGATTCATAACCATTGAATTGTACTAAACTGATAAATAAACTCCCCACTATACTACTAAAAAGTACAAGATTACAGTATTAAAGGAAAAAATAATTAATATAAGTAGGGATTCCCTGTCATGTGTCAGTCTTGAATGTTCGATTCTGAGTCTGCAAGAGCCGTTTTGTATCTCTTGTTCATATGGTGTGATGACAGCCATTTCCAAGTTGTATTTTTTATTTTTCATAATTTATTATCACTTGTCTTCCATTTTTATTTGTTGAAAGTGGAAATTCTTCTTTCTTAGAAGTGATATGTAATAATTTATAGCGATTTTTTTTAATGCTGTTCCAGAGCTAGATGATTCTTTGGCAGCCAAGCTTTCTCATTTCCACTGTTAAATTAATTAATTTTAAATACATAAAATATTCACTTTTTCAAATGTATAAGAATTTTAATAAATGAAATTGACAAATGTATTCATTTTGCCTTTATATACACTAAGGAAGAGAAAATAAGTCCAATTTTATAGCTAAAATTTATCAGGAATCAAAAGTAAATTAATAAATCCACAAAAATTAAGTCACTTAATAAATAAACCTAATATCTTTTACTTTAAAAAAGGAAAGGAAAGAATTGCATATAAGATAAATCAGGCTTACAAAATGTACATCAGCACCTAAAATATTGAGAGAAAAAAGTAACAAAAAAATATGAATATTGAACTATTCTTACAAAGGAGAGGAATGATTTAAATTCTGGATAAATCCAACAGTTTTCATTAAATATTCTTAATTTCTGTTTGTTTGTGTAAATATCAATTTGAATTACATTGCAGTGTACATGTACATCAAAGCTATTTAACAATTCAATAACTGGAAAACAAAAGTTAGTCCTTTTGTATAAAAAAATAAACTAAAAAGCTTTGGTAACTTTGATATGTACACAATTATAAAATATTGGAGCATTTCAAAGGGAGAAAATTATTCCCCTCCGGGTTTTAATAATTGATGTGTCGGGGATGGGCTGTGCGAAGGCGAGTCTTGCTCAGTACTGCTACCGAGTATCTTTTCTTTTTCAAACCTCTGTTTGCTGAACTTTCCCATCCCAGGACGGTATATCTCAATAGAAGGACGATCCTACAAATTGACACATGTGTTTAAGAAAATGTTATGTTTTGGGTTATGTCACCTTGTTACCTTGTTTCTAATACGGCGCTCAGTCCTCGGATCTTTCCCTGATCTGACAGAGTTCCCCTCTTTTGTTTTATTCCCATCTCTTTTCACCTTTGTTTGGCAAGTATTTGTTTCTTCCTTCGACGTCTTCTGATCAGATTCTCTTTTCAGTTCGGCCTTCTTAGATTCAATCTCTGTAAGACTAGTTTTCAAAGATTTATCATTTGATTTTCTGTTTGACTGTTTTATGTTGGTTTTATTTGATGTAATAAATGGATCTACAAATGTCTCTCTGAGCAGATTAACATGGTCGCTTTCTAAAGAGCTCCTGCGTTTTGAATTGTAAACCTCCACACCTTCATCAGTCTCAGTTTTCTTAGAATTATCAAATGAATTTCTTCTTTTTACATTTTTAACCATCGGATCATCGTTCTCTTGGCTTTCTTCATTGACTTTCAATCCTTCATTTTCTTCTTTCACCAGACTGAGAACATCATTTTTCTTGACTTTACGCTTATCCTCCAAGTTTTTCCCTTCCTGTTTTTTAAGCCAGATTTCTTTCCTCTTCCTTTGCCTCTCGGAATCTCTTTTTATCTTTCGTCCCTCCTTCTTTCTATCATTGTCGTACATAGAATCATTCCTGACCTCTTCACTTTCATTTTTAGAGTTTTTTCTCTGGTTGCTCCTCTTCTCAAATTTTGGCTTCTCATCTTTGCCAGCCGATTCGTGGTTCTCGTTACCATCTTCCTCGACCTTTTTGTCAAGAGATGTGTTCAAAGTGTATTTTCTTTTATCATCCCTTTTATCATTCTTCCTATCGTCGTGAAACTTGTTATTCCTATTCTTGAACTCCCTTGTCCTGCAATTAAACAAAGATAATTAATGCAAAGAGAATAACAAAAATTTTAAATTTTTATTAATATGTTTTATGATTATGCATAATAATCAAAGGAGATCTGAGATGTATGATATGCATTTTTTTAAGAGGGAAGGGATGACTGAAAAAAAAGGCCAGGGACGATGGTGAGAATTGAACTCAACTACAGGGTCTACAAGCTGAGAGTGTATCACACTAACCACTCAGTTATTGCCCACAGTTAATATGTTATTATGGTTTAAAAAAATTGAAAGGAGAAAATTTACAGAAATGCTGATCAAAACCAAAAGTCACTGTTAAAAAATAAATAAAATGATGGTAATTACATTTACACTAAGTGCTTTTTTGCCACAAAATCTTCCAGTTAATCATAAAATAAAGACAATTATTATAAAACCAATTTTGTCCCAGTAAAGAAAACTTTTGTTGCTTTATATCAAAACACCTTTTGTTATGTTCATGGGATTATTTTGAGATTAACTGAATTTATTTATTTATTTTTGTTTACAGGCAATGCCTATTCACATTATACAATGTTACAAATATACTTAGGTAACAGAGGTTCATTACAAAATATATATAGTTAATTAAAGAAATAACTAAATTAGAATTACAATACAATAACAAATATAGGATGTATGAATTATTACATAAAACATAGCTGTAAAAATATGCAGTTAGCATAATTGATAGAAAACAAACAAAACTTAACTGAAAAAGATAATTATCAGTAGAGACCGGATTTTTATGCAGTCGCATATTTTGTTTGTCACCACATACGACCAAGGGAATCAATTATCTATCCGAATCATGTATCTAGGAAGCTAAGATTAAATTTTAAAGAGCATATTTTGCATATGTGATGAATATCCCATAAAATTGCAAAATCACATTTATCGCGCGAAATATGTAAAATATTTTATTGGTTTTCAGGGGGAAGCATAAAAAAATAACAAGTTGACAAAAAGTTGGCTTAATTCAAAGAAAACTGAAACAGGTCGCAATGATGGTAAGAGAAGATTCTAGAAATACTAACAAATGAATATAAAACCCCTTTATAGGTCTTATTTCAATATTCTCACAAATTTTAAGTGGCCGTAGGCACTATTTCATAGAAGACAATTTAGAGAAGTACTTGTTTATTAACATTAATTATAATTAATTAGTATAAAATATATAATTATTGGAGATTGTGAGTTGCGGTCTGGTGTGATTTGGAGATGATGACATGCGGTCGGTCTGGTGTCTTTCACAGTATGCATCTCACGATCTCCAAATGATCATTTACTAACGTTCACTAAACCCCACACATAAAATATATAATTTAATTATGTAAGTGAGCAAGTATTCTTGTTAAATTTAAATAAACTATAGGGGGCGATAGTGGCCGCAATAGTTTAGGCGTTAACTTATACTCATAAAACCTAACCCTTCAATTATGATTATACTATAGATAATGTTACTTTGGCAAAACTCTCTGAAATTAAAAATCTTGGTGTTATTTCCAATAACAAACTGAATTTTAATTCTCACATCACCCATATCATAAATACATCCTAATGTGGTATATTGTCAAAATAGTTTCCTCCTACGTAAAATCCTACTATTTTCACGTCTATTTACACAATAAAATCTCCCACTGTTTCTCTATTGTTACCTTCACTGTAAAGTAAAGGTCCCGGTTTCGAATCCAGCAGCCCTGCATTCGAACCCGATATATTTACTTAACTTTTAATGTATTAATACTGCACATTACTGCATATTTCAGGACTTTCAACTGCATATTTTGGCCATTTTTACTGCATAAAAATCTGGTCTCTGATTATGAGTAATATCCAAGCTAAGCATAACATAGTAATTTAAAATTGTTAATATTAAACAGAGCTTTGGGTTTACAGTACAATAATGAGACAAATATAGAATGGATATTAAAATGTACAAAACCTGATCTGAACATTTATATCTTGAGTGTAGAAATTAATTGATTTTTAAAAATGCTAATATTACCTTGGTAAAAGAGAAGTGGATAAGCTTTAGCTGTGTGCATTAACCTATTGATGGGACTTTCTTTTATGTAATTAGTTTTATGGGCAGAAATTAAGAATATTTTATGTTTCCAGGATGTGAGCGGGAGTACAATAAAGTTTAATTTGCAAAGTAAACAAGAAAACTTGATCTGATTATTCACAAGTTTATAAAGGAAAAATGTCAAGGTAAATTCTGTGTTCCATCATTTTATTAAAGAAGCTGGCAGTGAGACATTTAACTTCATGGTATATATATCCCATTTTTGTACTCTCATGGAGGAGGCTAATTTTTCTGCAGTGGTTCGAAGAGGTTACTAGCCGCAAACATTTATTTTGCATGAACTATGTTTTCTTCCAGACTGACGTGGACGTGTAGTTCCAGCTTTACTATAACTTTGTAGAAGAGGAGTTTATTTCTATAGTTCAGCCCAGAATTGCAAGACAAAAACAGCATAAAGTTCCTCTTAGGCACAATTTCTTTTTTATAATTTCATTTATGTGACTAGAGAAGTTAAGACTGCTATTTAAAAAAAAGCATAAGTAATTAATTTTTTCGTCCCAAACAATTGGTAAGCCGTTTACAGAAACTTTGTCCCTAAAGATAGGGCAACACATAGTAAAAAATATAGCCTTGGTCTTAGGAGCATTTATTTTCAGCTTCCACCGGTTACAGAAATGGGACACCTTGTTTGCAGCCTCAGTTAATCTCCTCACAATCGTTTCAGGCCTCCAAGCCAAACTATATAATGCTGTCATCAGCATAAAATACAATTTGGCAATTTTTTGACTTAGGAGAGGATTTATAAATAGAAGGGAAAGAGCTGGCGCCAGTATAGAACTCTCGGGGACTCCGGTAACAATAGAAAAACAGTGGGAGATTTTATTGTGTAAATAGACGTGAAAATAGTAGGATTTTACGTAGGAGGAAACTATTTTGACAATATACCACATTAGGATGTATTTGTGATATGGGTGATGTGAGAAGTGAAATTCAGTTTGTTATTGGAAATAACACCAAGATTTTTAATTTCAGAGAGTTTTGCCAAAGTAACGTTATCTATAGTATAATCATAATTGAAGGGTTAGGTTTTATGAGTATAAGTTACAAACCTTTATGAGACTTTCACAAAATAAACCTATGTTTGAACAACTGAAAAACACAATAATAATAAGTATGTGTTACCTAATTTCCTTAGTAGGTTTTTCCTTGTCGTCTTTCCTGCGGATCTTTGTTTCTTTCTCTTTTGTTTCTTTTTCTTTTGTCTCTTTCTTTTCTTTCGGCTGGAGCAACTAGAACAGAAAAGTGGAAAACGGAAATTTGAGACAAGTGTTTTTTGGTGGCACAGCAAGAAAACAACAGGTTTGAAATGATACATACAAGTTGTTAAAAAAGTAATGCTGATTATATAGAGAGCTCATCAAAGGAATTAATCGTTAAGTTGCTTCGAATCTTCAGCATTAGTCTCTTTGAAGATCATTAGAGCTCGGAAACAAATTAAAAATCATAAATGAATAAATTTAAAAAAAAAAAGAAAGAAAGAAAATAGAAAAGAGTAACCGATTTTATCCTTGAGTCACTTACTCTATTTTTTTTAATTTTTTATTTTTAATCGCCTTTTCCTGAAGAACACTTAAGCATGAAAACGAAAGAAATATGAGCTCTTTTTATGTTTAATTTTTAAATTTCCTAGGTCATTCTGCCATTATTGGATGGCAACTCTTCCAACAATTTCAAGCATTTAATTTTTAAAAATATTAAAATTAGTATTGTATTAGTATAATATAATTTTTCTATTTGGCATAAAATTTACTTTTTTACTTGCTCTACAATTTTAATGTTTTAAAATAAAATTTAAGTTAAAAAAAAAACGCTAACACAGTTAATTATAAAGTTTTATATTGTGGAATGGGCACAACAAAGACAAATATTTTGTGTTCTTCTTGATTAGACTGTTTTATTAGATTCGAAATCATCTCTTCAAGGATTAATTCAATCAATAAGACCTGCAAGGAGGAGGAGGCACCTGCCAAGAAAAATTCTAACACTTTCCATCCTTCATTGGCTAACCCTTTACTTAATCAATAAAGTATAACGTTCATAAATCAAAAACAGTACAGAAAAGGGGTGATTGTTTTTAAATTTCCCATTAAAGAAAGGATAAGAAATGTGTTCATTCTTCAAAAATAATTTTAATTTCATTTTTGTTAGACAAAAAACAATAGATTTATATTATATTAGTTTCTTTAAGTTAACAATATTATTTTAACAAACAAAATGTTTAATAGTGATTGAATCACAATTTAATAACGCTAATAATTATTACTTTAATTAATAATTTTATTTTAAATATAGTAAACTTTAATAAATAAACACAGTTGACAGTTTATGAATATATTTCACTGGATCACATATATCAAGAGGGTATAGCTGCACGAGGAGCCCAAAAACACGGATTCTGATCCTCCAAAAAAAAAGAAAAAAAGGAGTATAAATAATAATCCTCAATCAAAATAAATAACCCTTTTCCAGACAAGATTGTCAGGAAGGTTTGTTCTGGAGTTTTTTAAAAGCGCTTGGCAGTAAGTTGTTAGTACTGAGGGCTTTATCGATGATGACTTCGCCTCTCAGTGGCTTTCCTTCTGAAATAGCTACTATGGATGGATCGACAATGGCCGGGTTGCAAATGATCACTGGTTTTTTTTCTATTTCTCTGACGTCTTTGAAAATGTCTGTTTTCTGTGGGTTCTGCCTCAAATAAGGGAATGGCGGTGTTCCTGGTTGAGGCATTGGCGGCACAGAATGAGATACTGTCGTCGAGTAATTCAGACTGTTTTTAAAACTTGCTGACGGCAAGGAAGGATTAATATTATGTGACTGGGAAGAAATTATTATTTTTGTCTTCTCATTCTTAAGAATTTCTTGGACTTTCTTTTCAGAAAGGCCAGACGGTGTGCTTGGGCATATCCCTAATATTTTCTGGAGATATAGCGACTGTTGTTCGGCCTTTTGTAACTCTAACATCTCAAGTAGTTTGTCTTTTGTATATTGAGTATCAGGTTTTTTATCAATGTTAGTCGTCGTGAATTTTGTTTTTTCTGTCACTCCTTTTTCTGTGACCTCAATTTTGGATTCGGTCTTATTTTCAACAGATTTTTTCTCTGATGAAATTATCTCTTTAACACTTCCTACATCTTTGTTGTTTGCTTTGCCCTGCATGCTGGGTTTAAACATCAATGGAGTCTCCGGCTTGGACCCAGCATTCCATTCGCCTAATAATTCTCGGCTATTTACTTTCAGAACTTTATCGACTTTATTCTTAATGGAAATATCGTCTTTCTCAGAATTGTTGGACTTTCCATATGTATAGTTATTGCTATATTGGATCTGTGAAGAAAAAGTAGGGATTATCAAAGTATGAAAACAAAGAAAACAAATTCACATGATTCTTTAAATTTTTAGTCGCCAGGGTTTTGTTACGATTTTATGAAAATTGCTATTTTTTACCTTAATGTCCTTTGGTTCTTCTTCTTCTCCTTCACCTCTTTTCTCTTTGATTTTCTGCTTCATCCTCCTTTCTGTCTCTTTCCGTTTTTTCTCCTCTCTCCTTTCATCTTTGATCCTTGCTTTTTCGGCTTTCTTCTGCTTGAGATATTCCAATAAGGGAGTAGTGTTAATTTCCTCGGTTGTTGAAACTGTACATGAGAGAAAAAATTAATCTGCCTGCCTAAATTGACTCACAAATGCTTAAAACATACTTTCAGTCTCAAAAAAGTGTTGTTTGACAGTCGATCCGGGTTTAGAATTTTCAAGGGCCTCTGCCTGGAGATTCTCCTTGAATGCGATGTACGCAGGGTCACACTCGATAGTACCACACAACCGGTCCTTTTTTTTCATTCGCTTTGGAATTCTCTGGAAGGGGGCAAATTCAACAACTGCTGGGTATTCTTGACCTGAAAGAAAATAACCCATTTAAATATATTAACATTTCAAGAATTACTTCAATAAAACCATCCAAAGATAACAAACAATTCCTATTATCTTCATTTTTACCTTTCGTGTCAAAAAAAACGTAACCATCAAAGGTTTGGGTGAATGTGAATATGTCCTCCTGATAGTAGAAGTTGATGTAGGCTCTCGAGAATGAATAAATCCCGTTGGATGCATCTCCAGGTATGAAGTACATGTAATCAAATGGGGGAATTGGTGAGATCTGTTCAATAAAGTTTTCCTCTGTCATCGTCGGAGGGAGCCTTCTGATCACTATCTGAAAATTAAATTGAAAAATTATTGTCACAAAAAATTATATTAAAAACTTTAAGTATATAGGTACTATACATTGCTTGTAATGTCATTTGGTCAAACACTCGATTCAATATTTGTACATTACTGTTTCAGAAAGGTGTTTAATTGTGACTAATTTACTTCTAGCCACAATGGATGTTTAACTGTCTCTTTACATTGTCGAAATGTTTTTGAATTGGAGTTGACTCTCCTTTTTCATATTGCATTAAAGCAATTTAATGTCAATAGTAAATTTAATTTTCCCTGCTGCAGATGCAGATCCCTAACCATTATGCCTCCTCCATATTAAATTTATTATTTCCAAAGTTTCATTTGTATTTCCTCGAGGTTGTTAGTTGGCATTGATTTTTTCCAACTGTTGGATGGAATTTTAACTGTAAACAACTGATGAAACCAACCCATGATTGTATACAGTTCAATATTCCATCCAATAACTTTACAAAAATCTAATAATCTTGACTAAAAACATTAGCCATTTTAATTTTGTCAATTGTTTGATTGATTGATTTAAGGGGGTTCTTTTCAATCAAATTGTGTACTGTTTGTGGCCTTTTTTTTAATTGCTGGGTCATTTAGTGTACAAACTGTAAATGATACAAATCAACCACTGAAGGTGTTAAATAAACTGACAAATTGAATGAATATAGCCAAAATTTAAAATGTTAATTTGAGCGTAATATCTAGAAAATTGCAATACTACTTAGACCGTCCATAAGAGATGAACCTATAATTGATCATTGTTCAGTTGTTTTAGCAGTAAACATCACTCAGATCAACCACTGAATATGATAAAATTGTAAAAGAGCACCTATCAAACCAACAAGACAAACACAGAATGATTGTAAATTGCAATAACAGTAAATCAGCGTTGGTATCTGTAGGCCCTTCCAGAAACTATCCCAACCACCTCTGTGGAAGATCTTGCCATTATTTGTTTTCATAAAGATGTCAACCCATGGTGGCACAGCAAGAAAAATTTGGCCTTTCAACTATCAACTGAATATCAATGTTAAAAAGTCAAAAAATAGAAATTGAATTGGGGCATCAATGACAATAATATTCAGGATGCCTCCAAGGGGTGTACTACTGCCACTTTATCATTCATTTCAAATTCAAAATGCAGTCATTTCAGTAAAAAGGTGGTGTGTTAATATGTGTCTGAGTGTCAAGATGAACAAAACCACACTAATATCAAAGAGAACAATGCTCAACCAGAGGACAAAAGTGATGTAACTAGACCTGAATAAGACAGGAACAACTCTACACCAAACTGCAAGTAAAACATGTTTATTCATTTAGTCAAGACTCCTTTTCAGTTTATGGTCTGATTATGTTACATTACAATATATTTGGGTTCCAAGTTGTATATCACTGGCCTCGTGACAAGCGATTAACGTTAACAGTCGAGAGTGCTACTATTGAGTAGTTTCTCCTTTCCTTTATATTTCATTCCAAATGAATGGCTTAAGCACAGTGAGCTCAGGTGAAAAAGAATGCAATATGTCAAAAAAATATCAAGCCTACTTAGTAGTTTATGCAGGTGTACTTTTCTGATCATCGTGAGTATGTGTGTTAGGTTAAGTCATGATAAAAAAGAATAACCCTTTCGGGACAGTCAGCGTTCTTTGATTTTTAAGTTAACAAAAGTAGTGTGCTGTTTTATGTTATTATTTTTAGCGCAAGTGGGTAATTTAAAGACTTAACACTGTTGTTTACTGTTTTAAGCAACACACTGCTTCTTTGAAAACAGACTAAAGGTGAAGAGTCTGAAGTGCGATATCACTTGCAGTACCTCAGTAGAGGTAGGTGCAGACTAGAGGATGCAATAGCATATCGCACTTACTGGCCTGAATGGGACAAGCTGACCAGGATGATAATATAAGGCCAAATTACAAGTTTATAAACTACTGCTTGTTGGTACATGTGTAAAATAATTGTGTTGTTTTTACAGATTTACTGATTTATGTAAGCTCAAATCAGTGCACACATGTACATACAGAAAGGGGTGTAAAGAAAGAGCCTATCACTTCTCCCATTCTACTGGCATTCCAAATTTTGTAATTTTGAAAATACCAACATGCCTCTAAAAACTCCCACCCAAGGTGTTGGCAGTACGGGGTCATACCTCAGTCTTGCCCATCCAGCTGTCAAGGTTGGGCAAAGAGATAAAAGATCAGCCACAAGGCCTTCTGCACCTCGACCTGAGTAGATCTATTATGCTCAGGTGCTGAGAAGTTGGGCTCCAGGGGCTGTCAACATCTAGGCCATTTTTACCCCCAATGTAATTAGTTCCAAAATCCAATTACCCATAACTTCTTATAATTATTCTTACTTATTTACATACCATTCACCAGGGTGGTGCAGTACTTGATATTCCAATGGAACCTTTGCAACTACTAAATAACTAACTTAATTGAGGGTCAATGTGAAGCTCAATATTCTGCCATCAGCCCTCTCACATTACACATTCACACTCATAAATACATTCAGTTTCAACAAACATTAGGAACACAAAACTATCAATTGTACATAATACATCAGTACTGTTTCCTCCAGAATCAAAAGAGAGGACCAAGTTACTTGCTACTGTGCTCAAGCACAATTATCATATCAGGTGGCATTCAACGCACTCTCTACAAGGAGGCAAAGAGTTGCACCCTTCAACTAGATGGAACAAATTTCTTTACATGCCGGACATATATGTAATCTTTTGCCCAAAAGAAAGTGTCCTTGTGTCAACCTTGCAAGGCCTATCTTTAATTGGGTGACAATGGCCCTTTTTTTCTACAAGTCAGACCTCCCGAGTGCACCCATTGACAATGCTCTTGATATGTGAGAGCTTCCCTGCCAATCTGGCCCACTGAAGCTGCTTCTTTCTTTTAATTGTATTATATTGTATTTGAATATTGTATTACAATATTGTATTTTATTGTATTTCTAGCGTCAAGGATCTGAATCACAATGATTAATTCCAGAGGTTGGGGCATCCCGACCTTAGCCTCGTTGACTGCCTTCTCATTACGCTGTAAACCTGTAGGTATCAAAATAACCTAATAAATAACTACAGGTCATGGTATTTCTCCAACAAGAGCACCATGAGAGGATTGTCTGAGGAGCTGTCACGGACTATAAAGTCAGTGAAGAGTAGGTAAGCAGAAGTATCATTGTTTTTAATCAATTCAAGCACATGCCAAATCACATACAATTCTGCAGTGTGAATATAGTACGGGGAGGGCAACTATGAAGTGGATGCATCCTCAAAACCCACACCGTCACCAGTCTTAGGTCTATGCAAAAACTGATATAACCAATAAATTACAAGAATTTAGCTTGGATAAGTTAGATTATATGAAGATGAGTAGACTACTTGGCTAACACAGCGAGATCATTCCTGATAAGTAAGCTGGGAGGACCCAGGGTGGAGTCGGCCGGTTGCCCAGCTCGAGTACCGTTCCCAGTGTCATCCCTGTGTAGTTTATACATATAAGCAATTAGTTGTTTTTTTAATGAAAACAAAACTACCTTCGTGGGAGGTTTGTCCTCTTTGGCTCTCTTTTTCCCGTTTTCATTGTTTTTCTCCGCCTCCGCTTCCTTTTCCCGGCTGTTGTCCTTGGCCCTGTTGTCTTTCTCTTCGTCGTCGTCCTCCTCTTCGCTCATTCTCGCCTCCTCGCTCACCGACTCCTCGGAGCTCTTCTTCACCGCCTCTTCCGCCTTGGCGGCCGCCTCCTCGCATTCCGTTCCCATGATTTCTTCGCGATTCCCTCGGTCACCGATCCAATCCTCATTTACACAGCATCGGGCGAGTACAGCAACTATCCGGTGACTCGGATTTTATTCACATTTATAACGCCCGTTTTGAAAAATTACAAAATGGTTTTGTTTTTAAGAAAATTTTCAGCAAACGAAAAAAAAGAGAAAAACGAAATTCTTTTGTTTTACTAATTTTTTTTTGTAAACTCACGTTTTACTGGTATATTTTTATCACTTCTTCAAAAGGGAGGTACGAGTTTTTTCCCCATCCCTTCCGTTTTGAGAATTTCTAAGTCCTTACATGAGAAATTTGGCGACCTGTCGTTGTAAAGGAAAAAGAGGGCCTCGAGCATTTTCAGGTTTCAGACCTTTTTTTCCCTTTCCAAAACGTCGAAGACGCACGAATCGCAGATGATAACCTCGAAGGTCGATGGATTTCTTTCCCAGGCCGCCTCGACCAGCTCAACCTCCGATTATTGCGTCACGACGTTAAAAAAATAAACTAAAATTTCAAATAATTTTCCGGATTTAATATTTTTTTAAAATCTATCTAAAACGGTCCCTTCAATTTGCAAATAAAATAAAAACAGAGAAAACAAAAACTTCTACTCAATCAAATAAATATTGATGGTTTCACAAAAAAAGTAGAAATTTATTTACAAGAAATTTTTGTCTATAAGAATTATTAAAAATAACACAGCTTTATAGACTATGAAATTCAAGAGCTGTGTTGAGATTACTGAATTTCAATAAAATTAAAAGAGAACAATCCATGTTTTTTCCTTTATCCAGTTATTCTGAGGAAAGGATGTTTATTTCACATGGACCTCATCAATATAACATGCACTTATGATAATTTCAGAAGTACAAAAGCAAGTATCTGGGGCCTCTGTTCTAATTTTTAAAAGAAACAGGATTGTTTGTAACATTTATATATACAATTACATATAAGGTTTGGGACATCCCAACCTCTGGACTTAATGCTACAACGTTAAAAATGAAATGCAAAAATATGATTAAAAGAAAATGTCAATAGGTGGCTATCAGAGGACCTGATTGTAGAAGAAAGGTCACCCAATTAAGAATAATCCATACATACGAGTTTGACACACTGACATTTACTTTTGGGCCAAGAACAAGTCCAGCATGTATGGAAAGGTTGCTCGATGTGTCACAACTCATTGAAGGGTCCAATCCTTGGCTCCATATAGAAAGCATGTGGGATTGCCACCTGTTAAGACATTGTGCTTGAGCACAGCAGCGAGTATCTTGGTCACCTGTTCGTATTCTTGGTGGAAACAGGCTTGTTTGATTGTATCTAATAGATAGATAATTTTGTGTCCCTGGTGTTGTGTGAATTTATTTATTGGCGTGAATGTGTGAGAGGGTCGATGTTGGAATATTGAGTATCACCCTATCGACACCCAAGTTAGTTGTGTATAATAAGTGTAAAGAGTAATGAAGGAAAATCGAGTATTCCGCCACCCTAAGTGAATAGTATGTAAATAGCAAAGAATATATTTAAGAGTGAGTGTGTGAATGGATTTAGGAGTTGATTGAGATGGGTGCTGAACCCTGGAACCAAACCTGTGGCTGGTCGGATAAGACCTAGGTCTGCCGGTGACTTATTGTAAATTACAAAAGCTGGAATTGCCGGTGGTTTGCTACAAGCAATAAGCTCAACAAATATATAAATTGGTAATCTATTGTTTCAAATGTAATGTTTATAGAAGAAAAATACTACTTTATCGAATAATTTTTATATGGAATTATGGACAACTACAACAAAATTGAGTATCTGGGACCTCTGTTCTGATTTTTTGAGGAAACTATTGTTTTATTGTATACAGTAATGACAGTTTTGTCCTTAGTACGTTTCAGAATGTAGTATGTATCAGAATTTAGTATGTATTAGAATGTAGTATGTAGTATGTATCAGCACAAATACGTAGTGTGAGGGCCAATGGCAGAATACTGAGTACCCCACCCACCCTCATTTTTATTCATTATTTTCCACTAACTTTATTAGGTTAATACCTAATACAGAAAAAGAGATAAAATTGGTTTTCAAATTTCTTAGTTCAAAAGGAAAATGTATACATTTATACTGCTTAAGATGGTGATAGTGAAAACCAGGATCAATTATGTATACTTATGAAAATTGCCCTATTGGTGGGCTGTGTTGTGGCTAATTTCATTCCAAACCAGGTAGCAATATAGCTGTTGAAAGAAAAACCCAAGTTATGTGTCCTTTATTTTATTCCCGTTTAAAAATTAATGATCGTTAAAAATTTATTTAAATCAATATTTTTTGAGGAAATGCTATTTTCTCACTTTTGAACTGTAATTAAAAATGCTATGGCATTTAGCAGACGTAGCACTGGATTTGATTGGTAACTGACAATAATTTCCTTAAGTTTTTGAGAGAAGTTCAATAGCTTCCCTCAATTTGTCATCATTCAAGACAGATTTACCAGACAATGGTTCATCTTCAATCCTTCATTCCCAGAAGCAAACTTTTTAACCACACTTGGGCAGTACATTCACTCACTTCATACCGAACCCAGTGCAAGTTTTACTAGCTATCTTGGCCGCTCTAGCTCTGAGTTAAAATGCATACAATTAGCACGGGACGGGTTTATGAAGCTATGAGTAAGAAAATATTTCATAATTTACACACTTTTTCTTTATGAACTCATAATCTCTTGGCATTACACTCCTAAACTTTCTACGTAAATAGAAATGTTTATTAGCTGTATTAAAACAATAACAAATGAAAAACCACACAACAAACTTATCTGTTACCTGGTGTTTATTCAATATAAACTTTATCGGTAAATTTTCCTTTTGATTTGTGGTTAATGAAAGGTGCTAAACAATTCAATAAATTAATCATAACTTTTATTTATACTATAAGTTCATTTTTAAAAATTTTCTTCTTTTATATATAGATTTATTTGTTCATTTATATAAAAATTCTATGTAATAAAACATAGTCCTTCTGCCCTCTTTTCATTTATCTTTTTACAAATATTAATTTATTTAGTACAATATTAACATTTAGCTTCCTCTGAAAGCTTTTGCTGGTATATTTGTAGTTTCAGTTTCCCCCCCCCCAAGATCGTCCTCTCGTTGTTTAAGTACATGGCTTCTATTTACCAGACGAATAAATCATTTATAAAATCAGGTAAAAAATTGATAACAACTTCTTCCCCAATCAACAAAATAAATGTTAAAATGAATATATTATTTATATATATTATATATATTATAAGAGAACTGTACAAAATGAGATTTATTCTCAAATATTTATTTAAGATGGCACACTACGCCATGTAATTGTATTGATTGGGGTTGTCTTTATCCCTCTCCATGTAGTCTCGGTCTATGAGTGACTCGATTCTCTTCTTGAGATCTGCAGGCTGTAAAGAGGCAAAATTTAGCACTAGAGAAGACAAAACAAAAAAAAAAAACTTTACCTTAACAGGAAACTTAAGTTGGTTGTAGAGTTCGCTTATTAACAAGTTGTGACTGAGAGTTTTCCTCATCTTCATGATTCTCACAATAGCCGCATCAATCTGATACTGCCTGTCCTGGAAAACTCTCTCCTCCGTCGCCTTTTGCTCTTCATTCTAAAACATTAAATGCATGGTTAGTGATCACCCTTTAACTGTTGCTATGCCTAAAAAAATATATTTACAGTTTCTTTCATTTGAATTTGGTTTATTTTTATCCTGAAGAGTTTGTTGGTAAAGTCAGCATTGAAATTAAACTTATCACCATTTTCTACATCTCTCCCTCTCGGTGTTTTTGTTAAAACTCTTGCTTTGCCACAAGCAAGCGATTGGAGGGTCCTTCGCAATTCTCCATCCTGAAGCATTTATTTTTGTTTAAGAGAAATATATTATATTGAAGATTATCATAGATAATATATTAAAACTCTAAATGTTTGTACTAAATAATTATCCTTGTATTATTTACTAAGGGAGGAGAGACACTTAAGAACATAAACTAAGTATTTTTTCATTGACATATTTTTTAAAAATATTTGTTTGTATCCTGTACATGAATTAACATTACAAATTGTTCTTAATGCCATACAATCCCAGACAAAACACTAACACTGTGGCCAATATTGCACCCAGAGGACACATAATGAGAAGCTAACCAATGCTGGCACTGAGCATTTTATCGAGTTGAGGCGAAGAAGTCTTGGGGCCATTATCGTTTGAGGTGGCGTGGATGGTTTTGAGGGTGAGAAGTAGTGGAGGTCTTGAGTAGAGTTAGGATGGGTTGTAATGTTGGAGTGACTCGAGGAAGCGGACATAAGACCTGAAGACAAGGCACAAGGCCTGAAAAGGTGGTGCCAGTTCTGGAGGGGTTAAAAATTAAAAATAGATTTTTTGTAACCAAGAAAATTTCATGTTGTACATAATTCATGGAACTCGCAAGGGACTATCTGGAAATCAACTTGCATAAGCCCTGCAAATTTCATCAAAATCTGCATAATGGTTTCGGAGATACAACCGTGTATGGGATTTATTGTTTGCACATGCACATATGTTAATCCAATTGGTATAAAATTCATAGGAGATTATCTAGAAAGGAACCACTATAATCCCCAAAAATTTCATAAAAATCTGACAAATAGTTTTGTTGATACAGCTGTGTATGGGAATTTTACATTTACGCATGTGCAGATGATACCATTGATCTCTGATTGAGATGAAATTCATAAGGTACCTTTTAAAATCCAGAGTTTTCCTGGTTACAAGGAATTGACCACAGACAGACATAGAACCAAATTTGTTCAGAAAGGTCTGAACTGCAAATTGCGAGTCGGAATTTTATTTTATTTTTTTTTCCAATTTTTAATTTACTGCAAGAATACAAAGTTCCCCCTACCTTTGGTAGTTCGGAAGCAAATATTAGCACTTGGAAAAATGCTGGATTTCCTAAACAAAATTTGACTGACAGCAGTGTTCGTGACCACTATGAGGCGTTTCGTTATTGAGGGGGTTAAAATGTAAAGAAATCTTAAAAATTTTCAGTTAAAAGAGGTGAGCCCTACACAGATGGTTAGGGATGGTATAAAGGGGTCTCACTATACTATACTGTATTGTTCATACTCTCATAAATGGTTTGGTTTAACTAAACCGTTCAAAATTTTACTAACTTTTGATCCAGAAAAAGGCAATGAGTGTTTAACATCTATAGTATCTCTGAATCCACCTGGGAATAAATGACAGCCAATTTCACCTTTATATGAAGGTGAATGAAAAACACTACTAAATCATTCACACAGATAACAAAAATTCAAGACTGTGAAGTTCAATCAAAATAATTTTTTCAATAATTTTGTTAAATCGGTGAGATATTGAATGTGTCTTTAAACTAATTTATAAAAATAAATTATTATTATAGTTTGCAGCCAAAATTGACATAAAACATTTTAAAAAAGTACACTTCAAGAAATTTTCTCTGTACATACCTCTATGCTTGTAGCCGTTTTGATATCTTCTAGAGACATTTCATTGCACTCATTAAAAAGAAGTAGAACTAAGCCTTGGAACAGTGAAACTTGCAGCTCTTTTTTCCCCTGGGGAAACTCAGCCTTGAGTACACAATGGCCGAGAGTCGGTTGCCACTGGAGCTTTCTTCCGTTGTGCTTTCCAAGGTAAAATCTTGTAAAATGGTTTTGAAAGTGCACCATCTCGGACGGGAGGGAAACATCCATTACAGGGTAAGTTGGCCAATAGCCCATTGTTAAGATGCTCACCGTCAGCTCCATCTGCGACGCATTCTTCACGTTGCTCATGTACTACAAATGAATTGAATTAGTTTTAACATAAAGTTTATATAAAAAAAAAAGCTACAAAAATGAAAAAGAAACCTGTTTGAAGGCGACATTGATGTCTTTACTTAATTCCATATCTTTGAACATGCCTTCAAGCTTTGAAGTAAAACCTCCACCACACTCTTGCTTTAGTTTTGATAGCATACTCTTTTCAGCATCTACACTAGCCGACTTGCCGACCAGCAACCTTTTAGCCAAGTCCTGTTAAATTATTACAATGACTATATTTATAATTTTCTATTGGGATTTACAGACATTTATTTACCTTTTTATAAAAAGCCTCAAAGACATCTTTACCATGAATAAACCTAAAAAGGACCATTATTTTATCTAAAAGCCTTTCAAGTTCCTCCTCCGTCGCCTCTTTGTTCCCGGCTCTTAACTTGCCATCAACAAATTTTGCTGAAATTCATAAATACAGGCCATCAAATATAGGAAAAAGAGAAATTTCTGTTAGAAAATAATACAAATATTTGTGGGCCAAACCACAAACTTCAATAATTTAACACTTTCAGGATGGCGAGTGAGATATCACACGCTCTAGTCTCTTCATTTTTAGACTTAAGTTAAAAAAAGCAGTGTTTTGTTTTAAAAATGAAACAAAAACTCAAAATAATAAAAACAGCACACTGCTTCTTTAAATTTGAATCTAAAGGCAAAGAGAGTAGAGCAAAATATCATGCTCTCAGTATCTAACTTGGTGAACGGAGAGTGCTGACCATCCTGAAAAGGTTAAAATCATAAAGTATCTTTCTTATAAACAAATCATAAACTTATTAAATAAGTTTATAGGTGTAAAAACAAATCTGCACAATTAAAATAAAAAAGCTATTGATGAGAAATTACCTATGAGTTCGGCAGGCTTGTTGGTTCGTTGATTAATGAAGTGTTCGAATGCTTCTTTTAAACTATTGTTAAATTTGTCATTTTTCTTAAAACAAACATTGACAATATTATCCATTTTATCTTTGAAATCGAGTAACTCTTGCACCATAGTCTTATCTTTTTCAGGATCAATCACAATCGTTTTACCCTTTTTCTATTAACAAAAAAAAGAAAATATTTTTTAACAATGTAATGCTTCAATTTTTGAAATTTAACGTTATCACACTTACCTTAATATACGCATTAAACATAGTACAAAGTTCTGAAAGTCCTTTTTTAACACGATTGAAAAGATTGTATAAAAGGGTGAGGTCTTTGACTCGGTTTTCTTCAAGGAGTGAATCGAGACCTTTGTGCAGTATCGTCGTCAAGTGCTCACTCAGCAACGTTTTTTCTACGGTGTGAATTAGTGACCATCTGCAAAATATATTTTGTTAAAATAATTAGTTAATAAATAATTTTAAAATCTTACTTAGTCGAAGGGTCTAAGTAGTGCAGAAGCCTCTCGTATTCTTCCTCTAATCTTTTATCTACATGGTGGAGATATTCTGGTACCTCCTGCTCTAAAATTAACTTCTGGCCTTCTGCTCCGTATAGCCTTTCAGTTGCTAGAATAAACCTAAAAACACAAAAAATATTAGATAAAACAAAAGAGAGAAAATCGATACAAGACGAGATGAGACTTACTTATTTTCGAAAGCGTCGCGATAGATCTGTAGATCTGAAAGCATTCTTAATAGAGATTTGAGCAGTGTTCTATCAACAGTATCACCTTGTCTTTCCTTCTCTATAAGCATGAGTAAACCGTCGACTATCCTTGTCTGTACTAAATTGTTCATCGCAATGTGGTGCCTAAACAATTCCAATCCCATATCCCTGCAAAACACAGTTTAAATAAAATTTCCATAAAAAAAAAGAATTATGTTATATTCAGTTTGACTATTTACCAAATAGAATTTACAGTGGAGCGCTGTAGTACGTAAGTGCGATCGAGGTATAAAAATATACTCCTGATCATGATCATCTGCCTACAGTGCGATTCCCAGCACTCGTTCATTTTTTTAAGAAAGACTAATCTATCCATCGAATTGCCAGTAAATTCCTCTATATTTGCTTGAACGTGTTTTTCAGTTAAATCTACAAACAAATCAACTTTAACTCATTTCATAATTTTTATTCACTTCATTCTTAATTGTTGACGTCATTCTCAGTACAATATAAAATGTACACTGATTAACAAAATTAACGCACCCTCCTTAAATTTTAATGTATTTAGGCTTATTCATATTTTGCATACCAAAAATAGGTTTGGTTGTAAAAATAAGCCATGAAGAAATGTGATTATTACCTCATTATAAAAAAATATTGAAAAACTGAAAATTCAAAACCAAATAAAAATGTTTGAAAAAAAAAAAAGAATTTTTGTCCCCTTTTATACAAAGAATTTCCACCTCTTGCACGAATCGCGTCCATTAAACGCCTTTGCATTCCTTGGTGGTAAAGGTTTTTCTGGTAAAACCCTAAGGAATTCTTTTCTGTTCATCAAGAACAGCTGTTTCCAACTTTTCATGAGTGTTAGGACCTGGATTTCAAGTCATTTCAAATATTCAATACAATTCAAATCTGGACTTTGAGCTGGCCCCATTAAGCACTCAATTCCAACCACAATCAGGTAGTCATCCACAATATGTGCTCTATAGGGCCTGGTATTATCCTACACTAGCAAGAATCACTTACTGATGTGGGAGGCAAATGGCACTACTTGTTATTTGATTATGTCTTGTAAGTACCTCTGTGAGGTTAGAGATCTTCCTTGCACAACAACAAATTCGATATGGGCGTCCAAGGAAATGCCACCCCAGCACATCAATGACCCACCATAGAATGCCATTTGAGGAACATACAGCATGGGGCATACCTTTCTCCTGAGCGTCTTCATATCTGAAGATTTGAGGCCAACTCTCACCTCATCAGTGATCTCACCTCGTCACCAATCTTGCAATGTCCAATTCACATGTTCCCGTGCTATTTGAAGCCTGGCCATTTTTTGAGCCGTGGTTAGAAAAGGTCCACGAGCCAATGACGGGCCCTGAGGTTATTTTTATTGAGTCTTCTTCTTACTGTCCTCGAGGAAATCGAAACATTTCATACTTGTCTTAACAGATTTCTTATCTTATTTCCCACAATGCTGCAGTTTCATAGAGCCTGATGACAGATGAATCTATCATCTCTCTGGTATGTAGACCTAGGTCAACCCTGCCCTGGCCTTCTAGTAGCCCTGTACCTCTGAAGAACCCTTCTTATTGTAGAGCGATTTACACTCAGTCTCCTAGAGATTTCACAGTGTATCCTTCTAATAATGTCATGACCCTGACACTCAGATGCCTGATTGAAGCTGTTGAAAAAGGTTTGAGACTAAGAATAATATCAAATGAAATCATCAAAGGAAAAAGATTAACTAAAAGCAATCTTTAAGCGTAACAGAATGGAAGGGCATAATGCTACTTTTTGGGCAAATGGGATTAATCAGTACAAAAGTAAATAAAGCATTATTTACTGTTTATTTTTGTCTATGATAGCTCCTAATTACCTGTAACTAATGTGGAAAGATAATAGATTTAATTTTAATCTAAATAAACTAAGTGGTGTGATAAATTTGTCCATCAGTGTATTTTAAAATATACCGACTGAAATACATAAATCTAATCAGTTTTACCTGTTAGATTCGCATACGTTGCTGACGCCATGTTATGGTTGCACATATTTTGTACGGCCTGGTATAAGTCTTCTAAACTGTATTGAATAGACTTGGAAGTTTGAATAGCAATCACAGCCTCGGAGAGTTTCTCCCAAGTGACCTCCTGGTAGTTTTCTGGAAGCCTGGGCTTGTCTGTAATCACATGTTATATGGTTTTCAGTTTTTAACAAATATGGAGTTTTATCAGAATCCTTCAAGCCTTAAGCCTTATATTATATATCGAGTATATTAATTCTTGAAACATGTCTAGCCGGAATTCTTTTTATTTAAGAATAATTATTCAGAAATCATGAGATGTGTTCTGTAATTTGATGATTAGCAATTCATTTTGATTTGCCTATCCTAGCTAAGTAGCCTGTGACACACTTAAGACTGCGAAGTACCTAAATTTGTTTGACAGACCTATCCAGCAAGGACAGGCAGATCAAGATGATTGGTAACAATCAAATTAAAAATACATTCATTAAGAGATGACCAAAGAGAGCGTATACAAAATCTAATTCTAATTCCAGGGACAACTGTCTATTTATTGATGCTGTCCTCTACTGCATAGAGCCAGTACTACCTGGCGAGATATTTCTCTATATTTCAGCAATTTTAGAGTTATTCTGTGCTTCAAAGTATTTAAAACTAAATGATCTGTAAGTTTTTATACAATATTTAACAAAATTATATCCACAATCCGGTTTTTTTAATACTAAATTGTTGCTTAGAATGAACCCTCATAAAAAATATACATCACAAATCTATTAAAGGTCAATGGCAGGATTACCAACAATTTGTTTTTAAATTAATTACACTAGACAAATTTAAATTTCAACGTTGAAGAAATTCAAATTGAGCTTAGAAATTTACATTCGTCAGAAGTAAGGTTTATGAACAAAAATAATAAAAATTGTAGCAAAATATTATTGCAATAATTCTAATTTGCCTATCCTCACTGTTTCGATATGTCAGATATGATTCAGCAATTTACCAATATCAGCAGTACATCAGGGGTATAAGCAGGTGAATCAAACAATAAATAAATTGTTGGGGGACTGCAAGTTGATAAACCTGTGGTTTAGTTGTTGACCTTATTATATTCTTTCATAAATAACCAAAAATATACATGATTTTGTTGGTTTTAAATGGCTCAAAAGTCTTCGGGATGCAGATTGATTTGATATCGGACAGTCATGTTCACCTCATAAATGACAAAATTTACCAATTGGAGCAGTTGAACGTCTAAATTGTTTGCTGTAAAACTTAGAATTGTAAGGTTTCTTGCTGATAAAACCACCACTAAAGATGGCTAAATAGTGTTGGCAGATTAATCAGCAAGAATAGACAGACCAGAATGATTGGAAAGTATCAACCTGTACAATAATAGTTTAATTTACTCTGAATGGTCTATGGTTATCCCAATTTTAAAACCAGTTAGTAAATAAATTAGTTGTTTAGAGAGAATATGATTCAAATGTCAGCCATAGGTAACTGATCAATAGGTTAACTAAATAAAGCTAAATTTTTGTCCTATCCTAATTTAAAATGGGAGAAGAAGGAAAAACATGGTGCAATTACAAGATGGCAAAATTCATGCGGCGAAGTTCTAAGAATGTACTCAATTAATGATTCACAATTTTTTTCAAAACAAAAAATTTTTGTCACAGGTGGGTTCGAACCCACGACTTTCGACTAAATATGCTGCTGCTCTACCACTTGTGCTACCATGACTTCAATCGCTCATGCCACAAACTTCTCATTTCGACTCCCTGTTTATATAAATTGTTAATCCATCTAAGAATTTTGTTACAACAGGATACAATTTGATTTTCAATTAGTAAACACTGGAAGCTCATCATCAACAAAGTTTTTGACTTAAAAATGTGCCACAAATTTTAAAACTAAACTTATTTTGATTCTTAAACCAAGTAAACAACAGAATGAACTCACATCGCACAGATGAATGTTCATTTTCATTTTTTTTTTTTAAAGTAATACTTGTCCATTAGTTTAGCTTTAGTCAGCCGCACTATTTGTTAGATCAGGACCACTGAATCACTAGAGTCAATAAGCAAAAGTTGAAGTCTGACTTCAAGGACTTTTAAATTCAATAAAGGACACTAAGTTGATTTGAATAGTAGTTCATGCAAGATTATACATATATACAAGTTCAGAATTCAAACCAAATCAAATGAGGCGTACCAGGTGTTCTACACTAAAGATCTACAAGAAAGTATAGAAAATATTCTTCACTCATAATTGTGGTGGTTGACATAAGACATAACTGGCCTACACTACTATAACTGTAAAATTGTATCATAAAGAGAAGAATCCAGCTGAATAAATACCTAACATCTCCAATGGAAAAATCAAGTACTTTCTATCTCAACGATTTTGAAATTTGTTCCATAATTTTCAATGCACACTGGCACAAATACATTAAGATGGATGGTGTAGTAGGAAGAGATCGACATCAGTATAGGACAAAAAAATATATTTACATTATTTTACCATTAGGGGAAAAGAGTTTTAGATTAAAAATCTCCAGCTATCATGGCCAAGTTATAGGACGGCATTTTTTATTCCCCTGAGTGGTGTTTAGTGACCGTTAGTCAATGATTATGTGGAGATCGTGAGATGCGGTCTGGTGTGAAGTAGGTTTTAAGAAAACATTTTCTTCGTCGTGCCAATGTTTCAATCTTTATTGAGATCGAAATGTTGGCACGACGAAGAAAATGTTTTTCTAAAACCTGCGTCACACCAGACACATCTCACGATCTCCAAATAATAAATAATGTAATGACCTGATATCCCTCACCATCCCAAAAATGTAATTACATTTACATGATTCATCAATTTCAACAGTTTTGTTAGTCCACCAACTTTTCATTAGTTTTAAAGAATAGAATACACACGTACTTTTTGTAAGAAGTTTTTACAGTTTTTAATTATGCTTGTACTTGTGTTAAATTCATCAGCACAGTTATTTGCAGTTGTGTATTGTTTTCTAATGAATGTGTAAAAAATAATAGTATCAAACAATATTTTATTCCCTTCCCACGTTTTCTACATATGCATTTTCTTCTCTTACACAGGAGTACATATATTCTTTCCTACTGCATCTCCACCTGGGTTTGAACATTACTTACTCTATGCATTTCAAATATGTTATGCAATAATGCATATTATGTAGAAACCTTTATGACACAAGAAATCAATCAGCCAACAATGAACCAAATAAGGGACATTATTGCCAACGGAACTTCAAAAGTTCAACTTCTAATGCATGAATATCGAATTCCATTACAAACCTTAATACACAATTTAAAATAAAAATAGTAATGAAAATAGCTTTAATAGTTTAAGCTGTGGTTGTATAAGAGAAAAGACCCACAGAAAATTCCTATACAGCGCATTGCATTCTCATCTGTTCAAAATTGTAGCTATTCTCCAAGTGGAAGAGTAAAGAGCGATACAATGAGTAAAAAGAGCTTTTTTTATGCTCTTAGGATGAGGTAAAGCTCAACATTAAGATGTTGAATTCTGAGATTTCTTCTTGTGGTCTGCGAGGTGATGAACGTGATGTGATCATCCTGGCCAGAGCCTAGACTCACTTCAGCTTTTGTCTGTCAGATGTGTTTTGACATTTCACCATCTTCAAACCCATCTTCACTTCAGATTCAAATTCACCGCTGACCAAAACACTACTAAACAGGGTAACTGAAAATAACAGCACAGGTTCATCACCCACCACACCTTATCAAGAAACCTCAAAACAATATATTACAACTGGTATTGGAATGATGTTATGATATCCGATCGTTCTGTAAGCCTGAAGAGACTTTTAGATATTTTAATTTCGAAATTGTATCTATTCTCCAAGAAGAGTAGAGAGCGATATCATTCGTGTAAAGAGCCATTTTTATGTTCTTCAAGATGTTGAATTGTGAGATTTCTTGTCATGGTCTGCGAAATGATGAATCTGATGTGATCACCCTGGCTAGAGCCTAATCTCACTCAAGCTTTTGTCTGTCAGAAATGTTTTGATATTTCACCATCTTCAAATTCACCACTGACCAAAACACTAAGACTAAACAAGGTGAGTGAAAATAACCGGACAAGTTCTTCATCCTCCACAACAAGAAACCTCAAAAACTATTTAGTTTTTATTATATCGCAACTAGAACTGGAATGTTATGATATCCGATCGTTCTGTAAGCCTGAAGAGACTTTTAGATATTTTAATTTCGAAATTGTATCTATTCTCCAAGAAGAGTAGAGAGCGATATCATTCGTGTAAAGAGCAATTTTTATTTTTTCAATATGTTGAATTGTGAGATTTCTTGTCATGGTCTGCGAAATGTCTGATGTGATCACCTTGGCAAGAGCCTAGTCTCACTCGAACTTTTGCCTGTCAGAAGTGTTTTGATATTTCACCATCTTCAAACTCACCTCTGACCAAAACACTAAGACTAAACAAGGTGACTGAAAATAACTGCACAGGTTCATCACCCTCCACACCTTAACAATAAACCTCAAAACGATATGCTGCAACTGCACTGGAATGATGTGATATCCGGTCGTTCTGTAAACCTGAAGATTTGAGATAGTCAAAATGAAGAGAATCGAACGTTCTAGGTTATTTATGAAAGAATTTAAAAGGGGCAAAGTTGAGGCTAAAATCGACTGTCTCGATTCTCCTGACAGAGGGATCAGAGGCGAAAGTCCGTTCTTATAGGTTCGTGGAATGAAAAACTCGCCGATGTGGAATAAAACGAGCTTTGAGAGAAAAAACGGCGTGGAATATTTGTGAGCTTAGACACGAGGTGAGTGTTAATAGTTGTGAATTTACCTTTGAGGTTTTTGATGACCAATTTCTTGGCAGTGCCCGGTTTGAGGGTGACAATGGATGCTGATCGGTTCACGCCGTTGGGGTTGGGTGTCAGCGCTGAGAAATTGGACCTTTTCGGCCTGGTAGCGTCCGTCATGCTGTTCTCCTCCGTTTTCACCTTTTTGCCGAGTTTGTCCGAGCCGGCCGAGCTTCTTTTCCTTTTGATGCTGTTCTCACAGTCTTCCCCCTGCGTCTCAAGGACCCTCGTTCTGGTTATACTAGACATATGATTGCATATCACGGCCGGAGCCACGGATATAAATACAAATCTAGAAAAATCGGAGCCCGCGGCTCTAGAAATGCATCGATGTCTTTTTATTGTTGTTATTTATTTATACGCGAGGACTTTTCAGACTGGGACCAAGGGAGACAAGGTGATTCGGATCACTCTCGCAAAACAACAGCTTTGTTGTAGAAACCTTGATCGACCGTTTTTTTCACTTTTGGCAATTTTTCTCACTGTCGCCCACCGGACCACGTCCCGGTTTTAACGAGGCGAGGAAAAATTTACCCTCGAGGAACTAGCTTTGCAAGAAAAGAGCCTGTTTTATTTCTATATATTTATAATATCGTCGAGTGTAGGCATCCAGACGCGCCACCTGAACGGAGATCCCGCCCTCGCGGAACTTGTTCGAACACAAATTCTGTCTGAGCTGTCTAAGAGTCGAGCGCGGCTCACGGCCGACCAGGTACCATCAAATTTCCATCAAAATTTAACTAACAATTTTTTTGCAACAACAAAAGGTTTGTTTTTAAATTAAGACATCACAAATTTTAAAAATATATGTAAAAACGATAAGGACTGACGCCCATTTTAAAAGCAAACACTCACTTCCTTCGACGAGCTTTCGAATATATTCACTTCAAAATTGTGAATTTTCATATTTGTTAATCTTTTAAATATTAATTTTTTAGCATGTATAAAGTTTCAAAGTCCTGATGCAAGCGATATAATATATCCTGCATAGTATGCACTCCTCGAAAGCTACTGTAAAACTTCTCAACAATTGACCTCATCGTTTTTTATTATACAAAAATTAAACTTAAACTTATTTGCCATTAGAAACTGTTTTACTACACTTGGAACAACAAAATGGACTGAATATAGAGTACCACACAGAGCTCTCAAACTAATTAGGTTAAGTATGGAATAGGTTCTTTTTTACTCTCTGTGTGAGTGTATTTATGTGTGCGTGTTACTATAACATTGATTGAAATAGGGCTCCTCACCAGTGTGAAAGGAGATGTTTATTAAGGGAAAAGTTGCATATTTGATGTATCGCACATTTCAGCAGAAGGTACATCGCCTACGAAGGGGCTACTAAGATATTACATAAGTGTGTAAGACAAAATGCAGAAAGGGAAATTGCAGAGTAGTGCCGGCTAAGACTGCCGGCCAAGGAAAAAAAGAAAAAAAGATTAACATCCCTGCGACTGTCAATCTGAAGACCATAGCTTCTCAATTGTACTCTTTTCCCCCTAGACCATCATAAAATAAAATTGATTCTTTGATAAACATTACATTATTTCTAAATATGAAAAGGTTTGCATGAAAAGTTCAAAAATCAAATGCAAAACCATGAACATGTACAGAATAGAAAGATGCGCTCAATTCCTGAATTTTTATGATCTAAACTGAAAACATAAAAATAAGAATATTAGCCAGCAACCATTAAAATTTGGAAGTTGAATACCATCATAACAAAATTTGCTCCAAATTGCTAAACCAAACATCTTCAACAAACAAAACAAAGCCATCATCCCCTTAGTACCCAGGACATATTAATCGAAGGAAATTACACTCTAGCCTTTAAAGAATGGTAGAATATTAAGACACACTCACAAACTATTTCCTAGTAGAATATTGTAAGGAACTAAATATAATTCTTAAAGTGGACAATGCAGACTTAAATAGCAGAAAAAGATAGTTCAAACTGTTTTTTTTCATTCATCTAGATTTTAAGCATTAAAATTATGCATGTAATTTCCAAGTACTTTCCATGTAGATTGTGGACAGAACTTGTAGATTACTTGAATGGTCCGATGAAAATTTAATGTTGAAATCACTGCTAAAACCATTTTGAACCATCCCTTTCAAGTATTGAATTTATATGTTTACTATATTATAACCATTTTTTATTCATGCATATTGAGGACTTTTTAAAGTGCTTAAAACAAAACAAGAAGAAATTTAGAATGAATTAATATAATTAAATAAATAAGTCGGCATTCTAAGAGTCAAAGGTCATTAGAGAGGTCTCGTCATTGAATGAAACAAGTTTTTAACTTCTTTGCTGAGCATATTTCAACTTTTTTTTTTTTTTTTACATCTTCAAAAGATTCTTAGCTTTCATTTTTCTTACATGCGGTTGAACAAAGTATTAAATTTTTTCATAAATACTTTTTTTTGTAGTTGGTGAAAAAACAAGCAATTCAAGATAATATATGCGATGTATTTTGGGATACTTGCTTAACAGGTGGCCGATGCATCTTATTTATCTTCTTGGAACGACTCAGACGTGTTTCACTTTGTGTAGATTGAAGTTCTTCAAGCATTTTTGCCGCGTAGCGACGTTGAAAAAGTCCAAATTAAGTTGATACAACCTGCCCCATCTCGCTGGTGAGATTTTTACGCAGGGTATGGAAAAAAATTCAATTTTATCCTGTCACAATAAATTAATCTCACATATTTTTGAAAATAACTTAATCACTTAAATATAATAAATTAAAAATAATAATAATAAAAAAATGATCTGAACACTAAGAGAGGATCAGAGCGTGCAGAGCGTGTGTAGGCCTAAACCCTTGCTATAAGTGTGGATCATCAAAGTTAGTAAACATTTATAATCCCATGTATAATTCCATTTTAAGACTGTGCAAACAGGTTTTTCAATGTATTATTCTTCTGTTAAATTATTTAAACAAATGATACTGCATTGCAATTATTTTTATTGATTTTTTTTTTTTTTCATTTATACAAATAACATTTAAATGCATTCAGATAGGCAAAAAATATGAAAAATCTGACTTCAGTCGATTAAATTAAATCATATATTGGCTAGTTTTGGTGATTATATCACAATGAGGCCTTTACAAACTTAACAATAAATAAAGTCATAATTTAATTCAATTTGGCAAGGAAATTGTAAGATCCTATATCGTTAAAGAAGATATCTGTGTTACGTGGACGATTCTGAGTGACTGTTTGCTCTAAAGTATTTTTGTGATCAAAATGGGAATTTATTTTTAATTAATGTTTTGTCATTATCACAAAAAATGTAACTTGAGCCATAGATCCACATGATTTATTTATTCGTCTATCAGATCAGTATTTTTCTGAGTCCAACTTTCTCCTTTTTATATTCTCCTTAGATAATTTCTGTAAAAATTCTTTTACACTCTTTAATAATAATAAATTTAATATTAATTCTTTAAAACCTACAGAATAACTTTAAATTTTGTTTAAATACAAAAACTATCATATTATGTTTACAATAATAATTATGCAGTACTATCAGTTTGAAGTTATCATTTCATGTGAAAGCGTAAATAAAATAATCAATAGAACTTATTGTACATGGAATATTTAATTTTTGATGTTTAGATTTATCAAGTTTAGTTTAATTACTTCAGCACATTTATATTTTATATTTGTATTTATTTTAATACAATCAACCGATGAACCACGGGATAGTAGTTTCGTTGTATCTAGCTCTGTTTTTGGGACAAATTTTAAGTATTTATTTAATAAATTGTTCTCTTTTTTATTTAGGACCATGATTGTTAAAGATATATATTTTTTTTGCAGCTTCATAATTGAGCGACATGAAAAAAACCAGTTGTTCATGGAAGCTGGTTGGCGGTAGAATTACAAGCCATTCCTACAACTCACATTGAAAGACCTGACTGTATCTTCTACCTAATGATGAATATTTAATACTCAAAATCCAGACAGCTGCCCAAAACTTATGTGAGTAGAACTATATTTTTCAAAAATTGAGTTTGTGAATTTTGTTCTTTTATCAGGTACACTGAAAAGGAATTTTTCAGCTCTCTCTGAGTTTATAATGTTATGCAATAACTTAAATACTTTAACACATTCTTTTTTTTTCTAATTTTTTTCTTTTTTTTTGAAGCTCATGTTTGTTATTACTGGCAGTTCTTCATAAGAAACTGTCAAATAGTAACTTACATTTAAATGCTGCATACTTTATGTAACTTTGTATATATATTTTTTGGTAATATGGAAATCATACAGGTGAATTAAATTCTAATTAAAAGGTATAATTAAAAGAAAAATATATTTTTCTACAATTAACATTTGAAAAATCATTAGTTCTGCTTTTTATAAACCCTAAAGGTTTACAACTTCTATTTACAATGTTTTAACACTACATCACTTTTAAAATTTTATTACATATCTTATATATAACTATAATGGGTTTAGCTTCCTTAGGAAAGGAACAATATAACATTTTTTCTATATTTATTTCTACCGTGCTATTTCTATTACATTATTTGACTAGATTTCCTAATATTTTTTTTTCACATGTTGCACCACTTTGCAGACGTTTTGCTTCCAAACTACCAAAGGTAAGGAAGCCTTGTATTCATGTGTGCAAATGGAAAGTTGAAACACTTGTTGACCTCCAAAATCTTGTTTGATTTTTTACAAAGGTGTTTCAACTTCGAGTTACATGAACTCTTGCGATGTACCGGTGTTTTTGAAAAAAGCCCATTTGGAAGTATGTCAGGTTCAAATGCAGGGCCGCTGGATTCGCACCCGGGACCTTTACCTTACCATCAGCACCCTGTCAACGCCTAAACCATTCAGGCACCACACCCCCTAGATTTCCTAATTCTTTTTGAATGATATCAAAGTTAGCTAACGATTTCATTGTCTTATATCTTTTTAGGCCATCAATAAAGGGTTTAATGTGGTAGGAAAAAAGCACTTTGAAATGTCATTTATAAAAATGGTGAAAAGTAATGGGAATAAATGGCCTCTCCATGGTACTACAGAACTGATATTAATGACTTTTGATAGAATATTTCCAAAAAAATGAAACTGGGTTCTATCTGTAAGATAGTCCTTTTGATCCAGTTCAGGAGATTACCACATATGTCAATGTTTTTAAGATTTTCGCATAAGAAAGGGATAGTAGTTTCATTATATACTAGTTCTGTGTTTGGGACAAATTTTAATTCTTTATTTAATACATTGTTTCCTTCTTAAAAATATGAAGTATTTCTACTGTACTACTACTTCTTCTACTGTACTAACAAGGCTGAAAGCAGCTACTAGACTGCTGGTCGATAAACCCACATAATTGTATATCATCAGTGGAGTGGTTGGTCTGTACGCTTTTTCATGTCTCGCTATGAATATGTCAAAATAATTGGGGACTACCAAGTCACAAATATAAGAAATCTCACAATTATGTGAGTGGTCGTCGTCACCGTTTCAGTAGTGTGCCGTCTCTCCGCTTGGATGCGCTGTTTCAGTGGCGAAGAGGGATAAACTCGGCCGACTCAAATCAACTCGGTAAGGAAGAGGTGAAGAGGGCAGTCGAGTTTCGTTCAAGAGGCGATCCGTCATCGTTGACAAAGTCCACCATCGTTTCTCATCCATCATCTCAGAGATGGTCGTCATCGGGATTCGGGAGTGCGACCGGCGAGCGTGAACCGCCCGCCGCCCCGTCCGAACGCTTTCGACGCGCTTCTTCCCCTCGTGTAACCTCCGCTATGTCCCCTATCTGTGATATCAAATCAGTCGAATTTTATTATTGGAATACGTTCGAGCTGTAAACGGCCCGGTCGTCTCGCCAATAATGTAAATTGACGGCTCGTCACCGGTCGTCGAGATGTCAACGTTTAACCAGACTTTAACGTTTAAAAAGTGGATTTGGGCCACCAAAATGTCCGGGTCCTAGTTTTGTGTTTTAGTCCTTTTTATGTTGAACCGTTCGTGTTGACATTGTTGTTTTTGAGTGTTGTTCTGTTTTTATCATGGCCGGGGAAGTAGACGAGATCAATTTGACCCCCCAGGAACTTCAAGTCCTCTCAGAGTTGGACAGGTAAGCCCTCTTCTAAGTGCACCCCGCTCCATGCGAAGCTCATCGGCGCTTGACATCACAAAATTGTATTAAACGTTAAATATGTTTTTGTTTTCCCATTTTATCAATAGGTCGAGTTAAACATAAATTAAATAACACTAGTGTTTAGCAAAAAAAACTTTTACCATAATTGTGAGATACGTTGTTGAGGTCTGCAAAGTGATGAACCTGCAGTTATGGTTGCCTCCCATCATTCTCGTCTGTCAATTCCATTTCAGACATCTTTTATGGTACCAGGGCCTTAAGAAAGTCCTCTTTTAATTAATTTATTTGAAGAGGGGAAATACAAAAATAGAAATACGTATAGAAAAAAGATTTTGTTTATTGTAATAATTCCAAATTATTTTCAATTATCCTTTCCCAATGAGAAGCAAAGGGAAAAAATATTTTGAACAAAAACCCTTCCTTTTGGAAGTCATAAAAAGAGAATTCTATTTCATCATATTGTCTGTTCTCAAATATTTTTTTTTTAGAGAGTTTTTGGCCATTTTGGTCGTCTGCCTAACCTTCCTTTTTTGGTTTGGTAAAATCATTTTTGGCTTCTCCCTATCTTAAGTGTTGTGCCTGCATAGTGGTTGATCCGAGCGCTTTCTTTTGTTTTGTGTCACCTTATCGCACCAGAGATATTCACAATTTTCTGCCCATAGGCAAAAATTGTCGATTGCTTGAAAAAGGTGGCAATTAGTTTTTAAAAATTTACAAAATTTTGAATGGCATAGTTACAGAATAGTAAAGCAGGAAGGTTGATGTTGATCCAGAGCCAAAAAAAAAAAAAAAACCACCAATACCTTAGACAATCCTGAATATAGTGAAACCTTTTAATGATGGAAGTCAGGCTGACAAAATTCCCTAGGCTTTTCATCAGAGTATGGTTATTGATAAGACAGTCTAAAATTATTGAACAAACCCTACCACTAATGATGATTCTATCCAAAAATGGATCTGTTTTAGGCTTGATACAGTGAAAGAAATAAGCTTATTGACTTTGGGTTCACTTTATCTATCATTTTTACTTTTCGAATACAGGTTCTGAGATATTGTGTCTGTAAACACGTGAGCAGGTTTCCAGGGATCTGAATCAATTAAATCTCCTAGTTTCTGCTGATTGGCCTTCCTGAACATGCCCCATCCTAGGCGTTTCATTATTATCATGAAATTTTCTTCTGTAAAATGTGTCTGAACATATCACGGAACACAGAGAATAATTTTCAAGCACCTCACTTTTAAAGGTTGTACTCACAAAGCAAATTTGGGATTCCAACACTTAACCATATCGCTTTTAACCATTTATCGCTTAACTAAGACTGGATTAGGGTTTTAATACCATCTTTATAAAGAGTAAACATTGGTGTTTACTCGTGGAAAGGTAGCATCACAATTAAACCAACAACAAAAATACTGAAGCCCAACTAAAACAAGATTAAAGTCTTGCTGAGAAGAGCTGTTATAAATTTTGTTTAAAACTTTTTTGTTGCTCCTTCACATACAGGCTTTGTGTTACTATTGACTGAAACAGAATAATTTGTATATTTTACCAAAGTTAATTTTTAAATGCAGCAATGTGTGGTGTTTAGTGACAGTTAGTTAATGATTATTTGGAGATCGTGAAATGTGGTCTGGTGTGATGTAGGTTTGGAAAAAAATTTTCTTTATAGTGCCAACATTTCAATCTTTATTGAGATCATCTTCAGGGTCTGGGATTTATAAACATTGTTTAAATTATACAAATACATGTAAGATGTGAAAAAATGAATTTATACAATGCTAGAAATTTTAGACAATCAAAGTATTTGTACTCATTCAAAGTGTTTGTTTTCTGTGTGTCATTATTGCCATCATTATATGCCAATATCTCTCTGGCACTTTCAACATGTCACACAATAATAATATGCAGTGTTAAACCTGTTCTTAAAAGATGTGGAGTCAATTGCAAATATTATACTGTTTAATCATCACTAGAACCCAGATTTATATACAATAAAATTCCTCAAATATGCCCTAAAAAAAACATAAATATATAATTTACTCTAAATATATTAAAATGAACAGAAGATGAATATCACACACATCAACTCACTAAAATTAACTAATTTCTTTTTAAATGTGTGTGGAGTGAAGATTGACCAGTGAAATAATTTGAGTGAGGATCAGTTTTTTGTAAGGATTTTTTGAATTTTATTTTGTTTGTAATACAATGCTTTCAGCATTTTCTTTAGGGTTGCCGGGTTGAAACAGACTATTTTAGTGATTCAAGTGAGGCCTTTATAACATCGTACAACCCGACTACTTCAGACAAATTAATTTGTCAGGAAAGACGAAAAAAAAAATGCATAGAGTTTTGGAAATGGGGGCTTCAAATAAGATGCTGATTATTTTTGGAGGATTCTGTTGTGGGTTTGTTTGTCTTTATTTCTGAAAAGTAACAATGTGAATAAAAATTTAGCTATTGTCTTTTTTGTCTCAGATTCTTATTTGCTATTTATTTTTATTTCTATAACAAACAAACAAAAAAATCAAATTTTCAATATTCTTTAATGCAAATTTATGCAAAATGAAATATGCAAAAATATACAGAATAAAATATGAACCACCATGATACTGGAGATATGGTCACCATGGTTGTAAGCGATAACAAAAAAAATGCGATTGCATACAAATCTGGGCTGTAATCATCACATAGATGCCCTAGTCCAGTTACCGGCCTATGATTGCCATTGTATATACATTGACAAATAGGATGGCATACGAAAGTGCGTTGTAAAATAATGCCAGAAATGAAGGAACAATGTCCTTTGGACTAAAATTATGTACATTACTGAGTATGCTGTAAAAGAAACTAAGGTTGACGAAAGATAACCTCAAGGTTGAATAGTCTCCTAGGTTTAAAACAATTCAAGTTTATGACTGTTCTAGACAGAAAGACAGTCAGTCCTCTCTGTCTCCTTTAGCAGCTGAAAAAAGAATAAGCATCGTTACTGGAATTGTGGATTAAATTCAATCGTCTAAAAAAAATGGGGTGAATTTTTAATGCTTGCTGATTCTGCCAAGAAACCACGTGAAGATAAAGTTCTTTACATATGACAGGATAAGGACATAGAAAGGATAAATGTCTTAATTAATTTTTGTTATTAAATTATTGGGTTGTCCGGAAAATAATGCAGGATTTTGGTATTAAACAAAAAAAAAGAAACTAGTTACTTTAAAGCAATGTTCTTTAATCAAAATAATTTCCCATACNCAAACAATATCATTTGGAAGAGGATTAATAAGTGTTGACATTCATACAAATGAGTAATCCTGTAAACGTAAACAGAATATTTTATATAGATTTTTGTTAATGAAAACTTAAAATCCTGCATTATTTTCCGGACAACCCAATACAATAATATTTAGTGTTGTTATTATAAATGAGCTGCTGATGTCTTTTTTCATTTTTCTTGCATATTAACTTACACTATCGAAGACCCCGCAGTCGTGGGTTCGAGTCCCACTGTCCCCTCTGGCCTTTTTTTCATGATACCCCCCCCCATGTGTTATTTATGGTAAAAACTAATTTTAAAGGATGTTAGACCTATTGAATAATCTAAATAAAAATTACATTTACAAAAAAAAAAGTACTCCAAAGTATTTTATATTAGGAATAAAAATTTATGGTGAAATTTTTTTTTTTCATTTGAATACATGATTACAGCTTTTTAAACATAGCTTCTATTTTGTTGATTTCCTGCAACCTCTTTATTTCATTTTCTGCATTGATGGTTTTGTACATCCTTATCATTTTATCTATTTCGGCTTTGATGTCAAAATAGTCATTGCTCAAGTCTTCCCCCATGTCAGTTTTCGACTTTGCCTTTATGTCCTTCTTGGTCTTGCTCATTTCTTGCTGTCTTGTCTGTTTCAGTCGGCAGTTTGGTTTTCTCAAGCTCAACAACCCTGAGGAAAGCAAGAAAAAGGATTTAGTGCTAAAGGTAAATAAGTGCGTGGGCAAATCTTAAATCATAGAACGATTTATAGACTGAATGAATTTTCAGGCGATTAAATACTTGGAGCGTATGCTGATGCAAGCTCAGGAAGAGCGAGAGAGAAAAAAAGAAAGTGAAAAAGATGATACTGCTGACATTAAAGACGGGGTCAATATTGATCCAAAAACTTATTGCAAACTTGGTCACTTCCACCTCTTACTTGAAGATTATGCTAAAGGTAAGATAATTCTGGCCAAATTAAATTAAAAATAATTTAAAACTTTTAACAATAATGTGTTGAAGTGGTGAGAATGGTCAGGAACCACTTCAACAAATTATTGAACAACTGGTTGGTAAAAAACACATTTTTAATCAACTTTATATTTACATATTAATATGTTTATTGAGTTAAGCAAAAATATATAATAAATACTTTGTCCAATGAATGATATTAGATGGATTGATTACTGATTACTTACTTGATTACTGCCTACTTGTCTTGTGGATTTGGATTTACTCAGTAAGCTCAAATCTTTACATGTACATACATTTATACCCAAATGTACAGAGTTGAGCGTATCACTTCTCAACCAGCAATTCCAGCTTTTGTAATTTATAATAAATTGCTGGCAGGTGTTGATCAGACCTAGGTTTTATCCATAGCACCCAATGCGTGCAATTCCTAGATCCACTCACATTTACATTCTCACACACTCTTAAATACATATTTTTTTTAATTTACTCATTTAGGGTAGTGGAGTACTCTGTATTCCTCCATTATCCTTTAAACACACTAACCTAATTGAGGGTTGATGGAGTAATCAATATTCTGTCATCAGCCCTCTCACATATACTTCATACCAATAAATACATTCCCGTCAGTTTCTCTGCCAAGCCAGCCCACCGACACTGCCACATGTTTTTAATGCATTTGTAGCATGTGCGGGACCAGATCATGGTGGTATAGCAGAGGTTGGGACGATGTCGTATTTTGAGAAGGATTTTAAAAGATTTGTTACTAATTTTGTTATTTTTTGCTTGGCATTAATAAAAATCAGTGTAGACTCCCAATAGACATGAAAATTCAGGAAGAAGGTACGAATCTTGAAATGAGAAAAAAAAGAATACCTTTGCCTTTCAGAATGCTGCCAGCATTATATGTTTGAGTCAATCTTATTTCTAAATTCTATTACTTTGCTTAAATTTAACAACTGATCACAGATGTTGTAATACAATGAACAAGACTGTAACTAACACACTTGTAGAAAATACAATAAGTCAAATCCATGTAATTTAATTAAATTATTTAATTTTTTTTTTTTTTTTTGAGAGAGAGAGAGAGAGAGAGAGAGAGAGAGAGAGAGAGAGAGAGCTGATATTTGCATACAAAGAGGTACCTTCTAAAATGCAATTAAGAATGATAAGCCATTATAATGATATAATGTATTATGTATATATGCAATGCATATTTCGTTATATGTATAAAATAATATAATGTTTTGAACTTGGTGGTATTTTGAAAGTAAGAGGATTTAGCCCTTAAGTGCATTATATAATAATGCTCTTTGTATTAAAATTTTGCTTTTTTTTCCTTATTTCCTTTTCTTTAGGCTAATGACTGTATATCAAATTTAAGAAATGAGCATTGGGCAGAATTGTCCAACGAAGCAAAATTAACGTCGACTCCTCACTTCCTTAAAAAGTCAAATGGACAACTGCTTACAGGACTGATTTTTTGTTTCTAAAGATCAAAATCTATGCAAACCTTTTCAGTTTTAAAATTAATTTTTCCAACGATATCAAATTTAGAGAGGGTTTATTTTAGAACAACAATACTTAAAAAACTTTGATAACTGAGGGTGTTATTTCTATCATTACTTAATTTTTTAATTATGTATTTTGTGTATTGATGTTTAACAATATAGTTAGTAAAAAAAGAAGTCTGAATACTCCCAAAAAATTTGTTTTTTCTTTTTAAAAGAAAAAGAAATCACTTATTATAAAACTAAGAAAAACTTTCTATTTGTTTATTTTTGGAGTAAAGATTGGATTAAAAAAAAGAAAAATCAATGATGTAAAATGGACGTTTCTTTATGCAAAATAAGTTTGAATACACCTTTGGTTTAATTCCTTTTATTAACTTTAGTTAGTAATACTTAATCAATCGTGCTAGGCAATAGTTTTATAAATATTTTATTATAATGGACTGCCGGTTAAAATTATTTGTTTGATGGTGCAACTCTGTGGTTAGGTGAAATTGCAAAGGTCGGTCAACTGTACAAACGGTTATCTGGAACTACAAAACTAATGACATTTTGGAAAGTAAGCACTGATTGGGGCTCGGCCAAAGAAATTAGAAAGACCTCATGAGAAAATGATTCTTCTTGTGCTGGAAATCTTCAGAGTGATTGTGGCAGTCATATAATACCCTGAAACAGTTCATAATACCATTAAAAAATGTGGTCTTAGCTCACAATCTGCCTGTAAAGAGCCCTACATTGATACCGGACCGGCATCTGGGTCACTTATTGGATCCGTTTTCACTCACTGATTTGTTGAACTATTCAAATGCCTTTCAGCATTGTGCCATCTTCAGTGAGGAACTTAAATTTGATAACAAATTTATTGTTATAAAAATTATTTTTCTGTAACTTTTTTATTTTTTATTGATTGATGATTGATTTTAACATCAACATGACATACTGAAACTATATTGCAGACTTTTTTACTAACTGTAAATTCATTTTGTGTTGTTCATGACTATTATGCTTTTAATTCTTATTATGATTATTAATTATTGCATTATAATATTTATTTATCTCTATTGGATGCTTATATACTTCTAAATATTAGCGATGGTGTAGGGTGGGATTTTTCAGCCAGAAAAGAACTAGGTATTTCTATTCGTTGCATAGACTATGTTTTGGGTAGTTTAATTCCTTTTCCAAAATGCCTGAAATAATATATACAGGGCGTCAGTGGCCGAAGCGGTTCAGGTGTTGATAAGACTTACAAATGGGCTTTCTTTCAAAAACACCGGCACCCCGAATGTTCATATAACCTCATAGTTAAAATACCCTCATAAAAAAAGGGGGAAAAAGACCAATTTCCTCTAACTTAAATAACCAGAAAGAGTTATTTTGAATGGATTATGTATGTTGAATAAAAAGGTGAAAAAACATATCGTTATTTTCTAGCTGAACAATTCCACTGTACATCGTCTTTAACATTCATTTATTTAAACAAGCTTTTGTCTAGATATTATATACACATTTTTATACTGTAAGGTATGCAGCATACAATAATAATATTATTATTATTTATTTATTTTTTTTTTTTTTTTAGCAATGTCTGCATATCAAAAGTTCTTCAAGTTGAAGCCAGACCACTGGAAAGATCCTTGTTTTTTATACGGGCAAGGGTTGGTGTACTTTCACTACAATGCATTCCAGTGGTAAGTACATTTTTATTTACGAGTAAAAAGTAGAAGGTGTGTGTAGAATATCTGCAGTTATAAAAAGAAAATTCCTTCAATTACAATCGGTTAATATGAAAATGAGGGCAATACATTATTATTGTCAGGTTCACCGTGGGGTCACCGACCCCTCAACACGTGCTTTTAGTTTCTGCCCTCACCAAAAGATGGTGACTCGTTTTGGAAAGTTTCCCAGTTTCTATTTTATGTATTTCAGAACCAATACTTATGCTGCTTTAAATACTAAGATTTAAAGTTTTCCAAGAATTATTGCCTTTTTAATTTTTATTAGTTTAAGTTAGGTGGTTATTACAGAAGAAACTGTTGCATTTGAACATTTGCAAGTTACAGAAATTAGATGTTGAACTTGATATTTGACAAACTACTGATTTATTTTTAAATGTAAATAATGGTATAGTTTAACTAATTGTGTTATGAAAGTATTTTCTTTCTAGGTTTCTTTAAATTTACAATCATTTGCATTCTAAAAGAAAAGCAAGATTTACAGCAAAGGCAGAGGCTTAATGTTATTTTAGAAATTTACGTTGATAAATGTGTGTCTGATCTTTAAAAAACAAAAACTTTCTATAATTATTACATAATAATAACTGTAATTAATAAATCGACAAATCATTCTGTCAAGAAAATAATTCATAATAGTAGTAGCTACGTGTGTGTAGAAATGTGTGGTGATTAGTGACCGTTAATCGATATTTATTTAGAAATCGTGAAATGCGGTCTGGTGTGATGTAGGTTTCAGAAAAACATTTTCTTTATCGTGCCAACGTTTCGATCTTTACAATTAATTAAGGTTTTTAGATGAGATGAAAAAAGTTAATGGCACTAGTGGGATTCGAACCCACAATCTTCGGCTAGATACGCCGCTGCTGTACCACTTGAGCTGTTGTGACCTCGATCCACTCGGACATCAACTTCCTGTCTCAACCCACCTTGTGAGTTTTCCCTCCTTTTTGCCATTTTTGGGGTTCGTGGGTTCGAATCCCGCTCGTGCCATTAACTTTTTTCATCTCAACTAAAAACCTTAATTAATTGTAATGTATTAATTGGTCAAGCGGACCAGGAAATTAGTGAAGTTTCGATCTTTATTGAGATCATCTTCAGGGTCTGGGATTTACAAACATTGTTTACATAAAACAATGTTTGTAAATCCCAGGCCCTGAAGATGATCTCAATAAAGATCGAAACGTTGGCACGATAAAGAAAATGTTTTTCTGAAGCCTACATCACACCAGACCGCATCTCACGATTTCTGAATAATTATTAATTATTCCGTTGGCACCATAAAGAAAATGTTTTTCTGAAGCCTACATCACACCAGACCGCATCTCACGATTTCTAAAAAAAAGTAGTAGCTACTACAATCCTTGTTTTCCAATGGGTGAACTATCTGACCTCTGTTTATTTTCAGATTTTTGATGTTAGAGTTAGAACGAGATAAATATATACATCGATCTGAGACAATTCTATTGATCAATAATTCATTATTGAAGGTTGCGGGAATAATTTGCCTTTTACTTTTATTCATTCTAGAATAAATAAATAAAATTGGAATATGTAAATTGCCAATTGATAGATATAAGGGAAAGGACTTTGCCTTATCTTTAAATGTATGTACATATATACACACATGTACAGAGTTAAGGTATCAGTTCTCACAGCCCACCGGCAATTTCATCTTTTGTAATTTACAATAAAATACTGGCAGATGTTGACATTCCGGGGTCAGACGTAGATATTTTCTGTCCAGCCACTGAAGTTAGGCTTGGGATGCTGTCCAAAGCTGGGACAATTCAGCACCCAATGCAGTAACTATATCCAAACCCATTCACACCTTCACTCTTTCTCAAACACATTCTCTCCTATTTACATGTCATTCATTCAATTAGGGTGAAGTACTTCTGGAGTACTCTTCCAAGAGTACAGTACTCTTCCATCATCGTTTTATATAACCCTATTATATAACCTAATAATGGTTAATGGTCAATGGAGTGTTCAATATTCTGCCATCTACCCTCCTGCCATTACACTACACATTCACACAGTTGATATATTCACTCTCAGCACACTCAAGGGACCCAAAACAAACATTACTACATACAATAAAACCCAACAAGGTTTCCTCCAAGGATTGGATCAGAGGATCCACTGCAGTGCTCAAGCATGATTGTCTTATCGGGTGGCAATCCTACACCCTCTATATAGAGCCAAGGAGTTATATCTTTTAATTAGGTGAGACACATCAAGCAACATTTCTCTACATGCTGGATATATATGTGCGCTTTGGCCCAAAAGTTCTTGGAGTTCCTTGGCTTCTTCCTTCTGCAGTGTACGTTCCCTTGAGGTCTTCTGAAGACTAATACTGCCAGAAGAAATTCGCTGAACTATAGGAAATTAAAATAGTAGTCTTTTTTTTCTGCTTGCCTGCAGCATCCCAGAAGTTCTGTCCTGCTATCCTTGCCAGCCGGTTCCTCTACTCTTGATCCCCCCCCCTGGGCCCACTACACTGCCTTCTCCCCTGCTTCTTATACCGCCTGGGTGTTTTCGACCTTCCACCACTTTTGTGGCTTCCCCTCGTCCTGAAATTTTTGATTTTATTTCTGTTGGGTATCCTTATTTGGGAAAGGATGACCCTTCTTCTAGAACTCAGATCCTCCGAGGGCCATCTAATGACAGTGCTCTTAACTCATGAGAGTCTTACGGTTTATGTTTGAATAATATAATTAATCAGTACTTAATTGAGAAACAAAGTATAAATATTTAAACTCAAACTTGGAAAGTTAATAGAAAGCAAATGAATATTATTTACAATTTTAAATTGTCAGTAGATTATACTTGAAAATCAATCGTGTAATGTATTTCAATGTATGTACATATTTTGTTGTCATCAATCAAGTGTAACTTTATTTAAAAAATTGCCCATAAAGATACAATTTTTCTTTAAAATCAATTTGTTTATGCAATGTAAATTTTTTTTTAATGAACTCTCATAAGTCATCAACATAAGTTAATTTTGCAATAATTGTTTACTTTTTAAGCAAGTCTCTTTTTTATAATATTATAAACAATATAAATTCATTCACTAGCTTTCGTGGTCCGCTTGACCAATTAATATCTTTCAATTAATTTTATCTCATCTAAAAATCTTAATTAATTGATAAATGGTTAGTTTAAAATTATAAATAGATTAAGTAAATTTTATAATTACGACCCATAAAATCTATAATTAAAAGGTCTCATAATTAGCTAAATTTAGGCAAGGATTCAAAATAATAATTGATCAGAAGTGCTGTGAATTGGAGAACCCCCACGTTGCAATGAGCAAAACAATCTGAAATTTATTAGGACGCACGTAATCTTATCGAACTAGGCTATCAGGAGGTCGATAACTTTTTCTGGGCATGTGGGCGGTATGAAATAAAAATTTCAAAGGCTCTGTTTATTTTTATTTATCTTTTGAACAAATATTTACCCGCGACTTGTCCTTTCTGTGGAACATTGTCGCATTCGATCGCCAGAAAGGTTTTTTTTCCAATTGGGTTTTTAAATCACTTGCACGCCAAAATAAGTTTTTGCAGTTCTTATGCATATTCTTAAAATGAAAACACATAAAAGTTGCATAGCATTACATTAGATTTTATTAAATTCACCTTACTTGACAATTGAAATTCTTTATCGTCCAGTCGCTCCTATTTCCTCCAGACATGATTCATTTGAGGATGTCTTCTCGAGGAATGTCGTCCCCTCGTTGCACCTCGCATAAACAATCCACGGTATTTAATCCCGGTACGATTGGTACTGGTGGTTTAATTCGACCTGTAGAAATCAAAAACCACACCGGTGCAGTCGATGAACTGTTGACAGCAATTTGATTGGAATTGATCATCACTGGTCCGCCTACTCTGAGGTCGGCTTTAAAAGCTACGAGAGCGTGGAGCTGAGGTCTGCAAAGCAAAACTATTGTCCGGAGATGATTGCATTAATCCGAATCGCATCTGTTGCATGAGACATCGTCAAATTACTAAATAATTAATATTATTATTGAATAACGTTCAATTACATGATTGCTAGTAGGCAACAATCCAACGAACTATAATGCTATCATTCGTCATCTTTCTACGATTGCTACCAGCTTATAGTATATAAACCGGATATACATGGTATTAAGAACCAGTGGATCCTTATCACTGATCACCCTAGTTCTGATCTTTGACAATGTGAAAACATAGAACCTACCTAATGTATTAGTCATGTTGGTATGTAGATGTAATGTTCGGGTGTGTAATATACTGCGCCCTATGAGACTTACTGCATCTCTCGTTCTGTATCTGTAGCATACCGGTGAGTTCTAGTTCCTCAAGAAATTTGATTAGAAGGCCAGGTGGTTGAATTGATATCAGTGGTTGAATTTTTTCTACGGTTACGTTGTACATCTAAAACACTTCCTCCTTCGGGCAAATAATGTATGGTAATACATATATGTATATGATCCCATTTTTCTTTTCATTGTAATGACATCATTTTGAGAATATAAACATTCATTACTCTTTTAAATTAATGTTGAACTGACGATACGCCACATACTGGGCCCGTGTATATTTGCTTTGTTTCTCAAAAACGTTTTGGTTTTGTGCAATCTTGAAAGGAATTCAAATAAACGGAATGATTTCTTATGAGATTTTCTTTTGGAGTATGCGGAGTGATAAACGTTATTCTTTGATTGTTATCTATTATTAAATTCATTATGTTTAGTCTGATTGACCAACTTGCTTCTTTCAATTAATTATACTTTTTATGTAAGGTATTGGTTGAAATGAAAAAGTCAGTGTCAGCCGAAGGTCGGGGTTCGAATCTCGCTCGTGACACTGACTTTTTCATTTCCACCAAGACCTTACATAAAAAGAATAATTAGTTATCTATTATCTTGCTCTGTCTATCCTCGCTGGTTTCTTTTGGTTCAG